GAGTCCAGGAGGCAGAGGTTGCAGTGAGCCAAGATGGCGCCACTGCACTCCAGCCTGGGCGACAGAGGGAGAGCCTTTCTCCAAACAAACAAACAAACAAACAAAAAACAAAAAAGAATGATAGAACAGGGTTTGGCTGGGCTGAAACAGTGGAGAAAGTTGAAAACATTCTTAGAATAGGGGAGTTGATTTTTTTTTTTAAGTTAAAGAAGAAAAAGAGGAAAAAGAAAGTTTGAAACAAATGCCGGGATTTGTATTCAAATGGGACAAGGTATCCATGAGAACTCAATAAAGAGTCCCCTGAGGTCAGTCAGCACATTAGCTTATTAAAGGCTTTAAAAGGTCACACAGTAAAGAAACCTATTTGAATTTGTTTAACCCTACATTCCTCAAACTTTTTTGGATCTGAATTTTCCACTCATATAACACATTTTGTAAAATGAAATAGTAAAGTTCTGAGCATCAGACTGAAGATAGATAGGATGCCTTCAAGACCACTCTGGGCAACATCGTAAGACTGGGTCTCTACAAAAAAAAAATACAAAAATTAGCTGGGCATTGTGGTACATGCCTGGAGTCCTAGCTACTCAGGAAGCTAAGGCAGGAGGATGGCTTAGGGTTAGGAACTCAAGGCTGCAGTGAGCTATGACTGCACTATCACTACACTCCAGCCTGGGTGACAGAGCCAGACCCTGTTTCTAAAATTCATAAAAAATAAATAAAGGATGCCTAGGTTCTAGTCTTAGCTCTGCTGGACTTCAATTCCCTCACCTGAAATACAAGGGTTAGGTTAGACAATTTCTAAGGTCTTTTTAGCCTGAGATTTTACAACTTTGGAGCATGTTCTCAAATGCATGTTGTTTATTATACATGGAAACAAACAAACAAACATGCACAATGTAAGTTGTTCATCCCATTAAGAAATAAATTTTGGATTGTGAAAATACCTCTGCAGTAAGATGCAAGATTTACATACTGGCCAGAAAGGGCAAAGTAGGACACTGTAGTTGACACATGGCCCAACTATGTGCCCTGTTACAACTTTTTTTTCTACCGAGTTAACAGGATAAACAACATCAGAAATAGACATAATTCACCCCAGGATTGAAAACCCTCCAGTAAGCAGTTTCCTTCTCATTCAAGTTCTGACTCCAGGCTTTGTTCCAGCTCACTCACCCACAGGTAGAGCTTTGCACATTTTGCCTGCATGTGTGATCATCTACCTTCCAAGATTTATCTACAAATGCCTTCTTAAACATCAAATTAGAAATGTTCAGAAACTTCTGAAAAGAACAAAATCAACTCAGAAATGCTAACAATTATGCCAATGATAAGGAAATCAAAGAAGTAATTACAGACAAAAGGTTTTCAGTTTTTAAAAAGCAATTATGTCATGTAGGTTGCTATTTTGGAAGGATGGGGCAAGAAAGATCATTCGATACCAGATAAGCTGTAATGTTGCATTATGATTTTTTAGAAAAAAATAATATAGAAATGTATGAGTCTCCCTGTTTTTCCTCTTTATCATTTCCCTTTATGGGAACATAAAATCCTAAGAGATGTGACAGTCTTCACTTTTTACCATATCTTAATCTGTTGCTTCACTTAATCTACATAGGAAAGAGGAGACGGAAGGTACTTCTGCCTACTCATATGTAAAAATTCAGAAATACGCATCTATAAAAATATGCAGTATGGTATTGAATCATAAGCACAAATACCTGTCATACTGAATTTTGCAACTTCTTTTGTTTCTAGGTCTGCCTGAACATTTCCAGTATTAAAGAAAAGGTCAACCAAAGGTCCAGATCTACAAAATCACCTGCATTTCATCTGAAATGAAATTCTTGGCAATGGATTCAAATATATACATGCTATGATGGCAATTTTTGGAAATTGCCATCACATTTTCAACAAAACTCTAAGATTAATGACATTTATTAAAGAAACAATAAAAGAAATAAAAACTTGCTAAAAATTCTTCTGGAGTCTATTCAAAATAATCTGATAAAAGCCTCTCTGGATTTCAAAAAGGCATGTGAAGTGAGTACTAATTAGCTATTTAACTAGTGTTAGATTTTAAGCTGTGACAACTATATCCTCATGTTCCAGCAGAATGACTAGCACAAAACAGGTCTCAAGTAATGTTTTTAATGACTAAAGTGCTTATTTTCACTATCACAATGATTTTATATCAAATTTATAATTCAGTAAACTGTGCCTTTATGTGTCCTATGTATTCATCATATTGAGAATCCAGCTTAAGTCCTTAACACAGTTATGTCATTTGTCACATTATACATGTACTTTATTCATCTAAGCATAAATCTGATCTCTTTTGCTAGTTGCTGTTCAACCTTAAAACTGCTCTTGACCTTAATAGACTAATGTTATATAATGTTACATACTCTAATATTACATACAAGTAAATACAGCCAGTACTCAGAGAAACTAAGTCACGCAGATACAGAAAAATAGCCATGTTACAAAAGAATAAAGAAACAAAAGGTTACTAGAGAATAAAAACTAGTTATCTGTATCCAGACTTATGAAAATTATTTGAGGACTTCAATTCCTCCATTTGCCTTGAAAAAAACATTTAAATGAAGTATCATAAACTATCAATAACTCTTAAATTTGTATCATAAACTATCAACAACTCTTATCATCCAAGATTAAGTAAAAGCTTTTTTTTTTTTTTTGAGACAGGGTCTTGCTCTGTCACCCAGGCTTGAGTGCAGTGGCACAATCTCGGCTCACTACAGTCTCAACCTCCTGGGCTCAAGCAATTCTCCCACCTCAACCTCCCAAGTAGCTGGGACTATAGGCATGTGCCACCCACCTCTGGCTAACTTTTGTATTTTTCTTTGTAGAGACTGGCTTTTACCATGTTGCCCAGGCTGGTCTTGAACTCCTGGGCTCAAGCAATCTATCCACCTCGGCCTCCCCAACTGCTGAGATTACGGCTGTGAGCCACTGCACCCAGCCAAAAACAATTCTTATTTTTAGATTATGATTTTCTATTGAGTTTTGAGGGTTCACAGTCAAAATGGATCTGGGAAGTTAGTTTAAAAGTTGTTAGGCAAGTAACTCCCTTTAGCAAGCTCATGTGTTAGGACTGTGCCCTCTTGTACAACCTATCTCATAGAAAGCACTCAGGTATTTTTCCTTCCTTTTTGACTTTATCATTTTATTTATTTAGAGTCAGGGTGTTGCTCTGTTGCCCAGGCTGAAGTACAGTGACACAATCATGGCTCACTGCAACCTCAACCTTTGGGGCTCATGCAATCCTCCCACCTCAGCCTCTCAAATAATTGGGAACACAGGTGCAAGCCACCATGCCCAGCTAATTTTTAAATTTTTTGTAGAGATGGGATCTCCCTATGTTGCCCAGACTGATCTCAAACTCCTGGGCTCAAGTGATATTCCCACTTCAGCCCACCAAAATGCCGAGATTACTGGTGTGAGCCACTAACTCTTGCCTACCTACTGCTATTTAAATACTGTTTTAAAAGTTTCTTTCACACATACAACATCAAGAACATCACTCACTGATCTCTTAATCCTCTAAGACATATTTCCTTTTTAAAAGACTTAGAGAAACCCCGTCTTTTATTAAAAATACAAAATTAGCCAGGCGTAGTAGAGCATGCCTATAATCCCAGCTACTCGGGAGGCTGAGGCGGGAGAATCGCTTGAACCCGGGAGGCGGAGGTTGCGGTAAGCCAAGATCACGCCATTGCACTTCAGTCGGGGCAAAAAGAGTGAAAGTCCGTCTCAAAAAAAAAAAAAAGATTAGAGATAGGGTCTCACTCTGTCGCCGAGGGTGGAGTACAGTGGCACAATCACAGCTCTCTGTAACCTCAAATTCCTAGGCTCAAGTGATCCCCCATCTAAGCCTCCCAAGGAGCTGGGCTAACAGACGTGCACTATCATGCCCGGTTATTAATATTATTATTTTTTGGTAGACAGGGGTCTTGCTATGTTGCCCAGCCTGGTCTCAAGGGATCCTCCAAGGCCTCTCAAAGTGCTAGGATTACAGATGTGAGCCACCATGCCCGGCCTGACACATTTCCTTAGCAATATCTAACACTGTGGGATTTGTTTAAAAAACTTTCCTCACAGAGAGACGCTCCATAGGCATTTCACATTGTTTTACATATTTTTAGAAAATCCTGCCTTGTTCCTTTAATCTTCCATGTATTTCTGTTCTAGGGAGACAACAAAAGTGCATGTTCTCTTTATTCATGTTGATTACGTACTCCCTAAAAACCTGACGGGAACTCATACCTGAATGTTCTAACCTTCACTATTGTCCCACTGGACCCTGACTGTGAGAAGCTGCGTGCCAGGGAGATCCTCTCAAATATAGTTTACTGGATCTCTCTTTGTGCGATTCCCATTTCAATCTGTAACCTATGAAAAAGCACTTTAGGAGCCACAAGAAATGTATCCATGTGATTGTTTACAGTGAAAACAAGAAAACATTCTTCTTTCTTCTCCCCAGGGAAAACTAGGAGCCTAAATGTTGCTATCCTCACACTAAGTGATCTAACAACAGAGGGTTAACACAAGAAGAAAAAGATAAGAAACTATCCTTTCCAACAGTCTCTGATTTCATTATGAAATCAACCCCCCAAAAATTGGGATTTTGGATTTTTTTCCTGAGAAAATAGGTAATGCACATTTTCTTTTCTTTCGCCTTTTCTAATTTGCCTTTGGGCTCTTGACCCAAGAAACGGGCATCTGATTACCTATCAGAGAGAATAACAAATCTAAATTGATGACTGACATTTTAACAGACTGAACAGCGATATTTCACCACTGAAATCCTGGACAATTTTCTAAGAGCTCTTTTTACAAGCAGGCTTCATAAATAGCCAGGACATTGAGGATTTAATTATGAAATCAGAATGCTTGATTCACGACCCTCTTTTCAGAGCCAAATACCTCTTCATTCTCAGACTCACTGTCTTGAAAGTGCAATCACAAGCACTTACCTTGTTTATTTCCCAGTCTTCCTCCAACTTTTCCACTGCAGCTGATTCCTGAGTAGACTCCTGCACATCAGAAGTGGCCTGCTTCTCTCTGCCTGGCAGAGTAAACTTTTCTTTCTTCTCTGTTGAGCGTTTTGATTTGAGAATGCTATTGAGACAACATTCCATCTCCTGCTTAGCAGACTCAAGTCTGTTTTCCAAATCTTTTTGTTTACACTTAAGTGATTTTATATCATCTTTAATAATCTTCTGCCCCACTGAAGATGTATTTTGCTTGACGGATTTTGCTAAAGCTAAAATCTTCTTTAATGTGCCATCTTGTAAACTAAGTCTATTCTCTAGTTCCTATGAGTGGAGAAAAGATTGTTATATCTCCATTCAATTGCCACAAAAGTTAATTGACTATTGTAAATCACAGAGTACTCTTGCTTCACCAGTGGAAATATTTAAAAACTTAACAACTTGTATCACACAGAAGAAACTTGAGCAAAATGTAAACCCATGTTGCATCTTGGATCAAATTCTCAAATAGGTATTTTAAGATACTAAAATGTTTGCAACAAGTAATTTAGAAAAATTTCACAGCACGGTTCTTACAACATAGGAGGCAATCAATAGATATTCCTTGAATACATATGTTTTGTTCAAGATACGTCTTTGTCATACAATCAAAACACTGAATAATAGGTGCCTATTATGTGAAAAGTATTAAAAAGAATAATCATTTAGAATGTACCCACATGAATCTAATGCTAATATTTAAAATTCAGAGCAAAACTTTGTGTTGATGAGAAATTCATCTAGTGTACTATCTTAAATATAGCAGAAAATCAATATTTAATAAATGCGTAAACAAATATGACTAATTTTAAAACTCTAGACTCAAAAGGAATTTGATGTACTGCAGCAGCTACTTTGAACTAGAATAAGTCCAGGTGAACGATGTACAATTTATCAGTCGTAGTTATCCTAATGGGCTACACAAGAAGCATTTACTCAATCATTCATTCATCCAACTAACAGCCAAGTACTAGGATAGATTTAGAAGTTACATAAAGGAGTAACATACAGGCCTTTCAAGGTCCTACAGTCTAGTGGGTAAAACTGTCTCTGAGGGTCCACCAAGTGAGGGTCAATTCAAATTATAAATGGATTTGTCCACTAAAGAAAGACATCCTCATTTATTATGACTGGTCAGAGCTTTAATTACCTAAGAGTCATCGGAATACCAGTGGAATTTCTGACAGAGGACACTGATTAATTACGTTGTAATTAACATTGATTTTTTTTTTAAATGTCTATCATGTCTGGACACTGTTTAGTACCTGCAGTTTCTGCAATTTTTCCTCAACCGCTATTTGATTCACAGGCTTATCAGAAAAACTGACAAATTCCTTGGAGAAATTATCCAACGTAGTATTCAGGTCTGTGACGCAAACCTGGTATGAATCATGTTCTCGAACGTGACCTTCCAAGTTTTGCACAGAATCCTAAAAATAAAGCCATAGACAATTTACAAACTATTTCTCTCTGATTTTTTTCACTCACAACATAATTAAATGACTAATAAATAGCTGTTTACAAGTTTCATCTTGAAACAGGAATAGGGCTATAAATTAGAGTTATGATTTTAGAGTTTGAGATATTTCATGCAAAGTCTCCATCTCCCCCCGGCCAAAAATGACTCTTATTGAAAACAATTTGTTTTTTCCATACTTCTTTGCCTTCATTTCCCCTTCATGAAGACAATTTATTTGTCAAGATGTTTATAAAATGAAATACCTACAAATTATATCATTAAATCCTAAACATGCATGATAAAGTAGCTTCCTTAATTATCCTTTGCAATAAAACCAACTACCAATTTCCACACTTGGAAATGAGGCCATATGAGATCAAACTAACCTCAGATTCATGTCTTAAAAATCAAACTCCAAACTTGTGTGTTAGGAAAATGTAATCCTAACTCAAAAGTAAAACTACCTTTAGTTTCTCTCCCTGGGATAGGAAAATACAATGACCACAGCTGATCAAAAAGCAGCAACTACTAAACAATTTACAGAAGAACAGGTCTATCTTAACCCCTGCCCAACTTTTGCTATCTGGACAAGCAGGATTTCTTACCCAGGCAATCTTTACATGGCATCCGGCTTTCAGTGTATGAAAAATTATAAACAGTTCTATTAAAAGAATATACTCCCTCAGGACAAGCTGACATTTTACCTCGTAATTATTATTACTATTATTTTTTGAGACGGAGTCTTGCTCTGTCACCAGGCTGGAGTGCAGCAGTATAATCTTAGCTCACTGCAACCTCCACCTCCTGGGTTCAAGTGATTCTCCTGCCTCAGCCTCCCGAGTAGCTGGGACTACAGGCAACCGTCACCATGCCCAGTAAATTTTTGTATTTTTAGTAGAGACAGGGTTTCATCATGTTGGCCAGGATGGTCTCGATCTCCTGACCTCGTGATCCACCTGTCTCGGCCTCCCAAAGTGCTGGAATTACAGGCGTGAGCCACCGCGCCCAGCCTACCTTGTAATTATTTTACTGAAGATCAGACAGGAAGAGCTGAGGGAGGGGCACTGATAAGAAGGTGGATATAAGATAACTGACATAAACTACTAACAATAGATGACGGATGGATGGATAATACTGACACTGTTACCTTCATAGAGATGCCTGAAAAATCTTAACCCATTCTACCCCTAAAGAGGGGAATTTTGATGAGAGAATATAATATCATCATCAAAGAATACAATAGCAAAATGAGCTGGATTTATTCCTCCATCCTTGAGAGTTAGGATTTTCATCTAAAAATGATAAATTAGGAGCTGGGCGCGGTGGCTCATGCAGGTAATCCGAGCTATTCCAGAGGCTGAGGCAGGAGGATTATATGAGGCCAGGAGGTCTAGACCAGCTTGGGCAACAAAGCGAGACCCCATTTCTACAAAAATAAAAAAATTAGCTGGGTGTGCTGGCGCATGCCTGTAGTCCTAGCTACTAGGTAGGCTGATGTGGGAGGATCGCTTGAGCCTAGGAGTTCGAGGCTGCAGTGAACTATGATTGCAACACTGTACTCTAGCTTGGGTGACAGAGCAAGACACTGTCTCTAAAAACAAACAAAAAAATAAATAAACAAGATCAATTAAATTAGAAAGCTCTCAGTTTACCAAGAGAACAACAGGCCAGGTGTGGCTCACATCTGTAGTCCCAGCACTTTGGGAGGCCAAAGATTTCAAGACCAGCCTGGGCAAAATGGCGAAATCCCATCTCTAAAAAAATACAAAAATGAGCCAGGTGTAGCGGTGCATGCCTGTAGTCCCAACTACTCGGGAGGCTGAGGCAGGGGGATCACCTGAGTCCACAAAGGTTGATGCTGCAGTGAGCTGAGATCATGCCACTGCATTCCAGTCTGGGCAAAGAGAGAGACCCTGTCTCAAAAAATAAAATAAAATAAAATAAAACAAAATGAACAACAACAGAAAGTTCCACATATGTCTTGCATACTTATGTGTAATTAGAACAATCATTTAAAGCATTATTTTGACCACCTCACCTGCAGTTGTTGAAGAAGACTTTCATGTAGATGCTTTATTTCCAGCCAAGGCTCTTCACTGAAGCTGGGATTTTTAGTGCACTCCAAGAGGTAATTTCCTTGAGATTTTAACTCCTTTAGCAAGGATGTCAAATCTTGTGCTTTCTTGAGGAATTTCTTATAAATCTTTAACTGAGCTTTCTTCTCCTGCAGACCATGTTGTAGAGCAAAACCTGCTTCCTGTTTCTTCTTTAGTTCTATGAGCATTAATCTCAGATCTTCCTTACTTTGTAAATATTTCTCTCCTTCTAGTAGAAGCTTTTCTTGATGGCTAAATTTCACAAAATATTTTATAAATGAAATGATATTTAGCAAAATGGACTAGCATTTTGCATATTATGTAACATACATCTTAATAAACATTAAAATAACACTAATATACACTGTTTCCAGACACTCTTGACACTAGAACATTCTAAATAACACTGTTTAGCTCAGAAACCAAGACAGAAAGTATTGGAGTATTACTAAAAAATAATTGTTTTCTGTTACATAATTTGACCAGAGAATATTTAATAATTTCGATTTCAAACAGGTCCCAACAGTTTCTATTAATTATATTTTCCCATATTTTACTTCTTCACAAAGTAAAATAAACATTCAGTATATTAACCAACTAACTAGTTTATGCTTTCTATAGCTTAAAATTAAGATCTGATTGGCTCTTCAGACAAAACATAAAATTCACATTTCTAAATATTAAAATGTACCATTGTAGACATGATATGAATTAAGAATTTTCACTAGAATTACATTCGTTGGATTCAGCCAACATTTATCAATGTTCACATATTTAAGAATTTCTTAAAATAAATATTTAAGAGCATTAATTATTCTACAGTGATACCACGCAGATAATGAGGTTGTCTGGTTCTGGTTTCTGTCTCTGACACTGTGGATGTCCCTGACATTACTGACTTTCTTTATATCCAAACCCAGGAGGCAGACAAAACATACGCGTTATGGCTTCACTGGGCAATGGAAAATGATGCAAGTGGTGCAGGCATGCCCTTTACCTTAGGTAGGTACTAGCTAAATGGAGTGTATTGTCCCACTGGTTGCTGATTTCAGTGAGGGTCTTCTGAACCAGCGGGGCCTCGCTGCTCTCAGCCTGCTTCATGATGGTCTCTATTCTGGCATCCCCTTCAGGCTTCAGCAAGATGATTTCCTGAATTAAATAAAAGAGATTTCATAATGTCATTTGCATTACTTAGAGATACTACATGGTATCTCTTTATTTGTAAGCTTCATATAGAGATTCTATCTGTAGTGTATATTTCAACATAATCTTTTCATTTTTATATGTACCCAAAAGACAAAGATATCTCTCTTCACATTATATACAGTTAGTTCTCCATAAATATTTGTCAGTTTGAGCTGACTGCATTCCTGTCCTTCTCTAGATTTTCAATACTTCCTTTACGCCCCCAAAACCCCAGCAAAACCTCTTCCTATCCACTCTATTATTTATGGATGGAGAGTTATGATAACAATCTGATAAGACATTTTTATAACCTAAGCATTGACTTATGACTTCCCATAGGAAAATGCAGTGTCCCTCATGCCAACTCTTGTTTCTCTACCATGACATAATTAATTCTCATTCTCACTTTCTCTGGGAAACCGTCTGGATATAATCCCAGATGACTCTGATTATTTACTAAGTCTCACCAACTTTAAGAGCTCACGATTTTTGACCATTTCTTCCTCTAAGAATGCTTCAACGAATGTGATTTCAATTCTCCTAGAGTTCTTTTTAAGCACAAGTGCTTCTGTCCCCTGTATTTTTATCTAGTGATTGAATTTTTTAATTTACTATAATTAAATTTTAATTTTTAAAATTGTTTATTGAATCTCCCCTTAGATAAAAAGGGAGCCCAAGGGAGCCTGAGACTTCCTTGCTTTCCCCGCCCACTATCTAATAACCTTTTATGAACCATATCCACTCTGAAGAATTCCCCTGCCTCGACATTGCTGATGCTTCTGCTACACTGACATATGTTCTTTTGACATCCCAGCAAACTCCCCTCCACTAGCAGCTCTGATCCATTGTCTTTATCTCAATTCTTCTGCACTCAGTGAAGATGGACAATAGGCACTGCTCTCTCTAAGACAGGACATGCTTTCTCTCTTTCATTTGCATCAAAATAATTTTAGATTCGTCACAACCCTTCTTTTTTGTAAGCTCAGTGATTTGAATTTCTTCAACCATTCCACAGTGATCTGATTTTCCATTAAGAAGTATTTAGATTTCCTCTAAATCTTTTCAAAACTAGAGTTCACTCAGATTTCTGAAATTTAGTTTCCATAGTTATACCTTGATTTTTTGGATTCTTTCCTCAAGTGGCATTTTGCCTTCGGATGAATTCAAAACCATAAGGGACTCTTTAATCTCCTTTATCCAGTGAATTACATCATGTGCAAGATCATTAAAGCTCTGGTCCTCTGTGGGTGGTAACTTATCCTCTTCCTCGATTTCACTTAGTTGTCTCAGTAATGTCTGGTATCTATCCATCAAACATGTTGACTCCATTATTATATCTTCTTCTTCAGTAAACCCATATTCCTTCAAAGAGTTATTCAACTGGGCCACAGATTCAAACTGTTCGCTGTAAATTCCAAATACCATTTAAAGTTTATAGGAGTAACCACACCATGGAAGAAACCATATTCCCAGGTAATATATTTCATACAAGATCAGCTATACCTCTTTCTAGCTAAAGCTTGGCAGAACAGCTCAGTTTTCTCCCCTGATTCTTCCATTCCTTTCCATTTCTCTTCTTGATTAGTCATCCACTTACTCAGGTTTCTGTGGTCATCCTGGAGTCTAAAAGAGCATTACCCACGTTTAAATACAAAATTAGCAAAAAGTGTTTATACCAAAGAAAAGGATGGCACAAACGTTGTGACTCAACCAGGTTTTTATAATATATGTTTGTTACAATTTAGAGAGAATTTAATTTGTAATATAACAAAATCTAAATAACAGCCTATATGATAGCGGGGTTCTATAGTATTAAAGAAAACCACACGAATGTCTCATAGAGAACAGGAAACAAACAGAAAACTTTTTTCAGACTATCCCATGAATCTTTGCTACATTAAATAATGTGAAGATTTTCCCCAAATTTTTATATTTGTAGCACCAAACCTAGATTGAAAAGTACGCCTTTTGTGTGTGAAATTTGTGTGTACTGCATATCCCAGTGCTCTCTGTGCTGAGGCAGAGTACAAGTAAAGATACAGTTAGAAAACATGTTATTTAGATATCACCTTTATTTCCTACCTCAGTAACTGCTGCAAGGAGTCTTCAAGCTCCTTTGCTCGAGCCTGGCATATGGACTCCATTTTTTCTAATTCGAATTCCTGACCCACGAGCCAACTGGTTAGCTCCTTCACACGTGCTTTGGGCAGATGCTTCTTCACATGCTTCAGTACACTGTCCACCTGCTTTATTTTACTGTTTCTTCCTTCAAGAGTCAAGAAATCCTTCAGAAAGACAAAAAGTCCATTACAATCTCCAGGTAAGTCTGAATGTGGACTCTGCCACCCTCACAACACTTTTCCAAACCAGTACACGGACATTCCACCTTCTTAAGATCCTATACAAAAGAAGGGTGATGGAGATGTGGCTCTCTCCAATGGCAGATGATTTATAATAGTTCTAGAACGCACATGTACATTTACATTTACTTCTGACTTCCAAGGAATTATATCAAGCAAAGTAACACAGAGTCACTGGGAAGATCAGCAGGAGCAAGACCAGTTACATTTTCCTATCCTGGCTGTGTCCAACTTCTCCACAGACTATTCTGTATTTAACGTTGCCCAAATTAGAATTCTATCTCAATGTTTATTTTTCAAGGTTTGGGTATCAATTGTTAAGGCCCATGCAATGGGGAAAATTAAAGGCAAACAAGCAAACAAAAAAAAGATGGGACTTCAAATTGTTAAAAGAGAAGAGAGGTGATTCTATCAGTAAAGAATGGTACATCAAAGCAAGGAATTAAACAGGGAACATTTAGTGCCATTGATAAGCTTAAGAACATAACTTATCTTCAAAACATTAAAGTGATCAAGATTTTAGGGTACCATAGGCCTTTCATATGCCCCCATGAACTCTGCCTTTCATTTCAGGATATCCTCCACCACGTTCCAACCAGAAATGTACTGAAGTTCAGTGGCAATTTTTAAAAGAAATATAACGGGGAAAAGATGTATAAACAAGTCAAAATTCCTCTTTCAAGAAAGGGGATTTTAAAGTCCAAATTAGGTCTTTATTTTTTATCAAACATGATTTGAACACAACTGAATTCACCAGTGGACACTAAATTAAACAGTATCTTAGAATATATGTAAAAGTAGAGATTCTGTAAGCCATTTGTACACATATCCAATAAATAGTCTTAAATATTTGGGAAAAGGCCAAGTTATTTGGGAATATTATCTCTTATGTGAAAATATTAGTGAGTCAAAGTACTTATTACTCTATTTCTTTTTTATTTGAGACAGGGTCTCACTCTGTCACCCAGGCTAGAGTGCTGGAGTGCAGTGGCATGATCTCAGCTCACTACACCCTCCTCCTCCCAGGCTCAAGCAATCCTCTTACCTGGGACTACAGGTACTTGCTGCCACCTCCAGCTAATTTTTGTATTTCTTGTAGAGACAAGGTTTCACCATAAACTTAGTGAACCTTTCGCCAAGGTTCGAGACCCAGGCTGGTCTCGAACTCTTGAGCTCAAGTGATCCACCCGCCTCAGCCTCCCGAAATGCTAGGATTACAGGTGTGAGCTACTGCACTCAGCCTCCCTATTTATTAGAGTTCTATGCCTCCAGTATTTTAGTATTGGAAATTTTTATAAAAAATGTACATATATCTCTTACAGAAAGTTTTTGTAGCTTTTGTTCCACACTCTTTTTTGTTTCTGATGATTCAAAACACTCCTTAAGGTTCATTTTAATGTTGTTGAACCAATCATTAAAGTTCTTGCATTGATCTGCAGGGGGGGAAAAAAGCTCTATTCATTCAAGGAAGACTTCATATATCTTGTTAAAGTGAGAGATTTTGAAACTTGTTTCCCATGCCATAGATACACATTATCGTGAAAGTGGTAATAAACTCTGAAACCTTTCACCAAGGTTTCAGACCCAGGCTGGTCTCAAACTCTTGAGCTCAAGCGATCCACCCGCCTCAGCCTCCCAAAGTGCTAGAATTACAGGCGTGAGCTACCGCGCCCAGCCTCCCTGTTTATTTAGATACAGTTCTACACTTCCAGTATTTTTACTACAATTAATCAAATAATTGTAGTGTATTTTCTATACCAAACGTCCAAGCATACAGGATACTCAAAGACACTGCCCGGACAGCTTGTGCACCAGTATTTCCCCAGACTCACCAACCACAATGAGCAGGTCAAACACTAGGACCTTGGTGACTTACCTTCAAGAAAGAAAGAAAGATTTGGAGCTTGCAAGAACTAGATGTTATTTATGTCAAGCATAAATCAGTCTTTGCTCCCAAAAGATTTAACTGATCATTATTTCCTTAAATGTAGTCTGTGCAAACCATCTCCAAGTCAGGCTTAGATTAGCCTTTGTGTTCATAGTACTACATTCATACTTCAAGAGTCCCAGAAACAAAATAAGAGAAATGTTGCACTCACCATTCAATAACTTAGAAAAGTGATCTTGTAAAACACTTTTTTTGGTATTAAATAAATCACTGACACTTTCGTATTGCTTTTTCAATTCAGAGAGTTCAGGAGTCAGACAACCTATTTGATTCTCAAGTAATATCATACTGTGTTTTTGCTGTAGAATTTGCTGTTGTATCTCCTAAAGGTATAAACAAACAACAACCATTAAATCTTAAAACAGGCTCAAATTACACAAAGCATATTAGATCTCAATGGTTTTGTAAAAATCTCAATGACTCTCAGTTGAGCGGATTCACTTTCTCTTTGCTAGTAAATGTATGATACAATGCAAGTTAATATCAATTAATTATCATCCACAAGGCAATTCAAAGATGAAAATGTTAAATATACAAAAGTGGTTTTTCTGAGTTTTCTTCTTCAATTTTTTTTTTTTCTATTTTTATTAACTCTTAAGAGCTCAAGACAACTGTAAATAGTGTGAAAATATATCTGAACCACAGAAGACAAGCAGCTGGGTAGCACCTCTAGTTTAGTGAAGATCTCTAAGCTGTCAGAAGGAGACAGGGCTTTTAAGAGGGATTCAGTCATCCCGATCTGGGTCTTGGCTTGGTCGAGATCCTCCCTTAGCTCAGCAGTGCTGCCACTGAGTGCATGGCAGTTGGATTCTCCTGTTAAACACTTCTGTACATGTTCCATCTTGTTCAAAATAGAGGACTCCATGACCTGAAATCATGAAACATATGAAGTAGTATAATGGTCATTATTTAACTACATTTAAGACAACTGTATTGCTAGAGAATGGGTTGAGATTACTTCATTTCAATGTGAAATGCATTCTTCTCACTGTTCTACATTTTTCTATGTCGCTGATACAATTTGAATTTTGCCTTCAAAGGATAAAGCATAACATAAAAAACTGAGATGGATATTCTGACTTTTTTCTAAGAGACAAACTTGATCCTTCCCCTCAACACAAGTTTAATCTAGCATACTAACTAAGGTGCTATCTCATGGTGCTCGTGACATAAAACATAAAACATAAATAAAAAATTAAATAGCCAGCTTTTTATTGAGTATTTATGATCTACACAGCATTGTGGTAAGCACTTTGTGTACAAAATACAGGCTTAAGAACGTTAAGTAACTTGTCCAAGATCATAAAGCTAGTAGGTAGTACAGCCAGAACCTCACCCAGAAGGTCTTAACTCCAGCGCTCATATTCAACCACTATGCACCTAGCTCTAAGAAAAACAAAACCAAATCTCTTCACACAACAGAAAATCATACTTGGGGCAATCTCTCTCTTTCTCCATCTAGCAAATAATAAACCTAGGATGACTTGAGTGAAATTCTCCTTCCTATACCCAAGAAACACATAGAAAATCATCATTACTTTACATAGACGCACAGGCAACATTTGCCCTCCATACCTGAGGCCTGTGAAATAGGTGAGGGGAAAATAAAGGAATACAAAAATATAATATCATTCATGCTAAATATGGAATAAATATATTTAACTATATCCACTATTAGAAATTTGGTGGGACTTAACATAGGAATTGAATAAATGATCCTAATTTTATTTTAGGTTTAGAATGCATGGTTTACAAGGGTTATTTCAGAGGCTATAGGGCAAGTTTGTCCAATCCACGGCCCAACACAAATTCCTAAATTTTCTTAAAACATTATGAAATTTTTTTGCTATTGTTAGTGTATTTCATGTGTGGCCCAAGACAATTCTTCTTCCAATATGGCCCAGAGAAGCCAAAAGACCGGACAACCCTGTTATAGAGAATCTTTAATTGGGCCTTTTTTTCCCTCTTTTAGAGACAGGGTCTTGCTCTGTCGCCCAGGCTGGAGTGCAGTGATATGATTATGGCTTACTGAAGCCTCAATAACTGAAACTTTTAAATAAAAATTCTTACCTGCAATTCAAGAGGTATTTCACTGCTTTGGAGCAAAAACTGTATTTCAGCCACTCTTCTAGAAAATTCTGAAGTTTTTTGTTCATGGACTTGTAATTCTTCCTAAAACATGTAATTTTAAAGGAGAGTATCTTTTTATTTCATACCTTATTTTCTGATACCCATAATTACTAGTGTTTATATACAGAAACTGAGAGACCCCTTGAATTTCCCATAATCATGTGTCTCAGTGTCCTAGAAGTTACAAATCCAAGTGCCTTCAGGGGTCAGGCAAATGCTACAACCAAGTGTCTTTCTAGGTATAAGACAAGAGAAAGGCTAGGCCTGTGCCATGAGAGAATGCACAGTCTGCCTTAAGGCATTCAATTTCATGAACATATTTATAAATTGCATACCCCATGTGTGCGCATCCGCACGCATGCACACACACACACACACATACACGCACACACAATTTTAGCAGATTTTGGCCCACAGCTGTCAGTTTACAATTCTTAATATCAGATTTTTAAACAACCTGTAATCCAAGACAAATTTAATAGAAATGATTCATTTATACTTAGAAAATCATAGTTTTACTTAATACCTATTATAATACATCCAAGAAACTCGAAATCTCCAAACAGTTAAAACACTTTTTCCAAATGTGTAAAAATAAATACATAAATTAAAAAGTGAATAAAAGTGAGAATTAGAGACAAAATAAGATTTGAGGCATTAGCATACATTCTTATGTTACGTTGAACCATATATAACTGGCAACAGTCAGCTGTTTTCTGACCTAGCAAGACAGCAAATTTTTTTTTTTTTGGGAGATGGAGTCTCCCTCTGTCGTCCAGGATGGAGTACAGTGGTACCACCTCTGCTCACTGTAACCTCTGCCTCCCCAGTTCAAGCTATTCTCCTGCCTCAGCCTCCCACGTAGCTGGGATTACAGGCACCCACCACCACACCCAGCTAATATTTTCGTATTTTTAGTACAGACAGGGTTTCACCATGTTGGCCAGGCTGGTCTCAAACTCCCAACCTCAAGTGATCTGCCTGCTTCAGCCTCCCAAAGTGCTGGGATTACAGGTGTGAGCCACCACACCCAGCTGACAACAAATTTATATGATTCAAACAAGTAATATGTAAACAAACAAGAAATTAGGAAGAATTCTTCCTAGAGGTGAAAGAGAAATAACTTTGATTCTTTCCAGATGCCACAACCTGAGATTGTTGTTTTAAAAAGTAGTTTTTCTTGCAGCTGTATAAAGATGGTGATACATAGCCATGTATTTTTTCTAATCTTTATAAGGCATTGTTTAATTCAAATATGAAGAAGGTTGTCTATAATTATGGTCTAGATCAGAGGTTAACAAACTATAGCCAGAGGGTTGATAGCCTGTTTTTATAAATAAAGTTTTTACTGGAAACCAGCTACTTTCAAGCATTTATATTGTCTCTCACTGTTTTCATTCTCCAACAGCAGGGGTGAACAGTTGTGGCAGAGGCAAATGATCCACAAGCCTAAAATATTTACTATATGGCCCTTTAAGAAAAAGTCTACTGGCTGGCCTAGTGACTCACACCTGTAATCCCAGCACTTTGGGAGGCTGCGGTGGGCAGACCACGAGGTCAGGAGTTCAAGACCAGTCTGACCAACATAGTGAAACCCCGTCTCTACTAAAAATACACAAAAAATTAGCCAGGTGTGATGGTGTGCGCCTGTAATCCCAGCTACTCAGGAGGCTGAGGCAGGAGAATCACGTGAACCCAGGAGGCGGATGTTGCAGTGAGCCGAGATTGTGCCACTGCACTCCAGCCTGGGCGACAGAATGAGACTTTGCCTCAGAAAAAAAAAGAAAAGAAAAAGTCTGCCAACCCCTGGGGTCTGTTTCACTACCCAGGAGCAATTATGCATTTAGTTGGCGCTGTTGCTAGGAATTCTTCATCTTTTTCATACTACCAATCCCTTTGGCAATCTGGTGAAGCCTATAGATCCCTTGTGTAATAGCATTTTAAAAATAAAGCATAAACGAAATAATGTAGAATTACAAAGGAAAAGAATTACATGATAATTATCAAAATATTAAAAACAATTTGTGATACATAATACTAGCACATGTTTCCCTATTATATAACAAGATCTAGCAATAGACCTACTAAATCCTATACTTCCAAAGTAGTGGTAAGGGTAATAGATTCAACAACTGAATAATGATCCAAAAAGTATCTGTGATTTTCTTGATAACAAAGTCACATATGAGCATCGTAATATGTTTGTTGACTATATTCATAAAAAATAAAAATAAAAAAATGTCAATTGTGTACCAAGAAAAGCATGTATTTTATCTGTTAAATTACCTTCAGCCTTTCTCTGTCCTCTTCAGTCAATTGATGTAATTCCATTTTTTGAAGGGCCTTTTCCGTCCCCTCATCAATGACATTTTTTAAGTTAAAAAGTTTGTCCCACAAAGCTAGAGCTCGACCAAGATTTTCATAGTAGTCTTCTGTCTTTTCATTTATCTACCATAATTTAAAAAGAGAAACAACATATGTAGCTGTGAAAAGTTTGAAAACCACCGTTTCAGCCAAACACTGTTTTAAAATAAAATTTTAGTTTACTATTACTGGATAATTTGCTTTATTCATCAACAAAAATTTGCTTTAACATATCATGTAGTTCTTTCTCTTAAAAATTAAAAATAAAAAAATAAAACGTACCTGATTTGCTGCAGCTTATATGCAATTTAAATTAACAATCTTCCTAATTTCTTTTTTTTTTTTTTTTTTTTGAGATGGAGTCTCACTCTGTCACCCAGGCTGGACTGCAGTGGCGCCATCTTGGCTTACTGCAACTTCCGCCTCCTGGGTTCAAATGATTCTCCTGCCTCAGCCTCCCGAGTAGCTGAGATTAAAGACATGCACCACCATGCCCAACTAATACTTGTATTTTTAGTAGAGATGGGTTTCACCATGTTGGCCAGGCTGGTCTCGAACCCCTGACCTCAGGTGATCCACCCATCTCAGCCTCCCTCCCAAAGTGCTAGGATTACAGGTGTAAGCCACCACACCTGGTCTAGTCTTCTTCATTTCTAAACTACATTTTTTTGTTGTTGTTGTTAAATGGTGCTTTTAAAAACCAGATGATAGCCGGGCGAGGTGGCAGGCACCTGTAGTCCCAGCTACTCGGGAGGCTGAGGCAGGAGAATGGCGTAAACTCGGGAGGTGGAGCTTGCAGTGAGCCGAGATCGCGCCACTGCACTCCAGCCTGGGTGACAGAGCGAGACTCCGTCTCAGGAAAAAAAAAAAAAAAAACCCCCAGATGAAAACATAATGCAGATGAGTTCTTAGTTTGTAATTAATAAAAACTAGAAATATCATTACTACTCAACCAAAATTACATTAAATATGTAGTTAAACATCAGTATACTGCATGAACAGGCAATACATTAATGAACTTATCTTTAAAAAGCCAAGTATGTATTTCTATATGTACAAGATGATGAACCCATCTGTTAGTAGTCCCAACTCTGGGGTTAAAATTAATTCCTAAGTTTTCTATAATTTGAACATTTTTACAATGAGTATTTTTGAATCTTGAATTAAATAAAAATACTAAAGACACAAAAAAAATTGGAAACAAAATTAAATTTGCAGTCAATGAAATTATCACTTACATCAAGCCATCTATCCACAATAATATTAGCCTCTTTTTCAAAAGGGGGTTCTTCAAAAGTTTTCATTTTATTTAGATAAAATTGTAGATTTTTGCAGATCTGGTTTATCTTGTCTACAACTTCTAAATGCTCATTAAATTCTTCTTTGACAATTTCAATCTGTAAAAAAGATATGAAAGTTATTTTTGATATATTGATATAGACAAACAGCTAAGAATCACAATTCTATTGTTGGATATTGAGCTTAAAAACAATATCCAACAAAGCGTAATACCTTCTTACATTGTTCTTTTTTAAAGTAGGCTTTTATTGTCCCACTTTCTCAATGAAAAGTTTTTAGCATCCTAACCATTGGTTCAATGTTAATCCTATACTCAAATTTCCTCCCACTTGGCATGATGAAATTTTTATAGTGGTCTAAAACCATATTTCTTATCCATGTGAAATAAGATTCTACCTGCCAAAAAAAGCATCTGCATTCAATGGCATTAAAAAAAAAAAAAAAGACAGTCCCTACATCTGCCTAATGAGAATCATCTTTTTGATATCAAAGAACCTAAGCACTTATCTGAATAAAATACACAGAACTCTAAGACATCTTGGATTCTAATCACTGGGATTAGATCACTGGGAACTAATCACTGGGAAACTAAGCAACATACTTCTAAATACGAGTCAAAGAGGAAGTCTCAAGAGAAATTTTTAAATACATCAAATGGAATGAAAATAAAACACGAAAACTTGTGTAGCACAGTTAAAGTATTGCTGAGAGGGAAATTTATAGCACTAAATGCATACATTAAAAATGAGGAAAAATCTGAAATCAATCATCTAAATGACCACTTCAAGAATCTAAGAAAAGAACAAAATAAACCCAAAGCAAGCAAAAGGAAGGAAGTAATAAAAATTAAAACAGAAATCAATTAAGTTGAAAATTCAAGAACATTAGGAAAAAAATCAATAAAATAAAGAGCTAGTTCTTTCAAAAGATCAGTAAAATTGATAAACTTCTAGAAAGACTGACAAAAGCAAAGAGAGAAGAAAGCAATACCAGTACTAGGAATGAAACAGGGATACCACTACAGACACTACAGACATCAAGCAGATAATAAGAGAATGCTACAAATAACTTTACACACACAAATTTGAAAACTTCGAGGAAATGGACAGATACTTTGAAAAACACTACTGCAACTCATCCAATATTAAATACATAATGTGAATTGCCCTATTAATATTAAAGAAATTGAATGAATAATGTAGAAACTCCCCAAAAAGAAATCTACTGGTCCAGATGGTTTCACCAGAGAATCTGATCAAACATCTAAAAGAGATTTAACAGCAATCATATACAATCTCTCCTGGAAAACTGAAGAGAAGGAAACACTCCCAATTAATTTTATGAAAGCCAGTTTTACAGTACCAAAAAGAAACTACAATATCTCTCAAGGATATTTACACAGAAATCCTTAATAAAATATTAGCAAATATAATTCAGGAACACATATAAAAAAAGGAATTATAGGCCGGGCGCGGTGGCTCAAGCCTGTAATCCCAGCACTTTGGGAGGCTGAGACGGGCGGATCACGAGATCAGCAGATCGAGACCATCCTGGCGAACACGGTGAAACCCCGTTTCTACTAAAAAATACAAAAAATTAGCCGGGCATGGTAGCGGGCGCCTGTAGTCCCAGCTACTTGGGAGGCTGAGGCAGGAGAATGGCGTAAACCCGGGAGGCGGAGCTTGCAGGGAGCCGAGATCGCGCCACTGCACTCCAGCCTGGGCGGCAGAGTGAGACTCCGTCTCAAAAAAAAAAAAAAAAAAAAAGGAATTATATACCATGACCAAATAAGGTTTATTCCAGGAATGCAAGCCTAGTTTAACATCCAAAAATCAATCAATGTAACCCACCATTTTAACAAGCTGATGGAAATAAATTATATAATCATGTCAGTTAATGCAGAAAAAGCACACAAAATGATATAACCACTCTGAAAAACATTCTGATAGTTTCCTTAAAAAATAAACATGCAGGTTGGGCGTTGTGGCTCACACCTGTAATCCCAGCACTTTGGGAGGCCGAGGCGGGCGGATCATGAGGTCAGGAGATCGAGACCATCCTGGCTAACACGGTGAAACCCCGTCTCCACTAAAAAAATACAAAAAAATTAGCCGGGGTGGTGGCGGGTGTCTGTAGTACCAGCTACTTGGGAGGCTGAGGCAGGAGAATGACATGAACCCAGGAGGCGGAGCGTGCAGTGAGCCGAGACTGCACCACTGCACTCCAGCCTGGGTAACAGAGTGAGACTCCATCTCAAAAACAAACAAACAAACAAACAAACAAAAAAACCCTGCAGGCCAGACAGTGCCATTACAGCAGTGGCTCATGCCTGTAATCCCAGCACTTTGGGAGGCTGAGGCAGGTGGATCACCTGAGGTCAAGAGTTCGAGATCAGACTGACCAATATGGTGAAACCCCATCTCTACTAAAAATACAAAAAAATTAGCCAGGTGTAGTGGCATGCACCTGTAGTCCCAGCTACTCAGGAGGCTGCGACAGGAGAATTGCTTGAATCCAGGAGGCGGAGGCTGCAGTGAGCCAAGATTGTGCCATGGCACTCCAACCTGGGCAACAGAGCAAGACTCCATCAAAAAACAAACGAACAAACAAAAACAAAAAACCCCATGCAATTAACATATGACCCAGCAAGCACACTCCTGGACACATCCCTGAGAAACAAAAACTTATATTCACCAAAGACTCCTTCACAAATGTTTACAGCAGCTTTATTCATAATAGTCCAAAATTGGAAAGAAGCCAGATGTCCTTCAGTGGGTGAAGAGTTAAACTGTGACACATTCATACCATGGAATACTGCTCAGCAAGAAAGAGGAACAAACTATCAATATATGGAAGAACCTGAATGAATCTCCACAGAATAATCTATGTGAAAATAGCCAATCCCAAAGTTACATACTATATAATTTCATTTATGTAGCATTTTAAACATAGTAAAATTATAGAAATAGAGACTATATTTGTGGTTGTCCGGGATTAGAAGGGGTGGGAGGAAGAGGGAAGTAGATGGGGCTAGAAAATGACAATAAGAAGAATCCTTGTAGTGACAAAAATGTTCTTTATCTTGACTGTATTGATGTCAATATCCTGATTGTGATATTCTAGTTTTACAAGATTTTACCATTGGGGAAACTCAGTATAGGATACTTGGGATCTCTTTGTACTACTTTTGTATGTGAGTCTACCATTATCTCAAAATAAAGGCTAATTTAAAAATTAATATTAAATAAAATCTTTAAAATGAAAAATCAATAACTGGGGAGGTTTGTCTTCCAACTAGATGCTGATTGATACACTGGCAGAGCTGAGATCAAAACCCAGGTCTTCGCTCTCCTGGTTCAGAACTCTGCACTGGAACACAATAAATGTTTGTCCACAAAGATGGAAGCAGAGGCCATTATCCTAAGAGAAATAACTCAGAAAGTCAAATACCGATATGTTCTCACTTATAAGTGGAAGCTAAGCAAAGGGGGAACACAGACATATAGAGTAGAATAATAGGCCTTAGGGACTATAAAAGGTGAGACAGTGGGAAAGGGGTGAAGGCTGAAAATTTACCTATTGGTAAATGTCCACTATTTGGGTGATAGGTACACTAAAATGCCAGACTCTTTCATTACACAATATACTCATGTAAGAAATTTGCACTTGAGACTGGATTAAGAAAATGTGGCACGTATACACCATGGAATACTATGCAGCCATAAAAAAGGATGAGTTCATGTCCTTTGTAGGGACATGGATGAAGCTGGAAACCATCATTCTCAGCAAACTATCACAAGGACAGAAAACCAAACACCACGTGTTCTCACTCATAGGTGGGAATTGAACAATGAGAACACTTGGACACAGGAAGGGGAACATCACACACCGGGGCCTGTCATGAGGTGGGGGGAAGTGGGGAGGATAGCATTAGGAGATATACCTAATGTAAATGACAAGTTAATGGGTACAGCACACCAACATGGAACATGTATACATATGTAACAAACCTGCACGCTGTGCACATGTACCCTAGAACTTAAAGTATAATAAAATAAAATTTTAAAAATTTTAAAAAAAGAAACTTGTACTCCCTAAATATACCAAAAAAAAAATTTATTGAGGAAAAAAATTTTTAAGCAAAAATGTTTGTTCAATTAAATAAAAAAAATTTCATTTGATATATTTCATCTAACCGAACAAACTAAGTTTTTTTTGCCTGCAAAGAACTTTCTTGTTAAACTAGCACAAGCTTCCACAGGGTGATGAGAAAAGAAAGGGCAAGAGAGTGTAATTTTAGCATTGGCAGAACTATGGGTTTTGTTTTACAGCAAATGGAAGGAGTAAAATAAAGGGAACTAGGCCCACTTTGACATTTCCAAACTTTAATAGTCTCCTGACATTCCAGCCTTCTAGTCTAACATTTTGCACTTCTGTCTTTCATTAAAGAGAGCAGAACTTTGTCACCATATCCTAGATAAACATCCAGGTTACCACAGTTTTGAAGGACAAAAGTTCTCAGTGGTATCCTATTCCAGGCACTGCTGCAAAGCAGGATAAAGATCCATGCTACAGAAATGGACTGTTTGTGAAGATAGTACCTGTGTCATCACAAAATTAACTGAAAGTTATGTTAATAATTAGTACTAAAATCTGCTTTTTTTCAGACAGTTTTTTAAAAACCTAACAAAAGAATTAAATATTAGTGTATTAAAACTTCCATATCTTTCATACAAAATAAAAGATTATTTCAGCAAACATAGAAGTACCCATATACTAGAGGTACAATTCTCATTTTAATAAAATAAGGAAAGCCGGGACTGTTGTTTCTTAAAGGTAGTTATAATTATTTTATTAATTTTAAAAATACTTTTTGCAGTTGACTAAGAAGTACAGACAAAGCAGAGTTCATTAATTTTTACTTCTGCTATATACATACTTCAAATATGTCTTCAGGGCAGGCAGTTTTATGCAGTGATTGAAACAGTGAAATAACAAGTTTAACACGGTGGATTAAATATATATGTTTGTCTCTCTTTCCTCCTCACATGCTACTTTAACAACAGAAAAGAATTTAAAATGGTACAAACCAACAAGCACACAGAGAACAGAGGATGACAATACTCTCAGGTGGAAGGTGAGAAGTTGGGAAGCTGGAAAGCTGAAGAATGAGTAATTGACTCACCAAAACTAAAGCTGAAACCTTGGTCTAGAAGGAGATGGGATAGTGGGGAGGGTGCAGAGAAGCCAATAAGAAGAAAGGCCATTTGTGCTACAGAATGTCAAAAGGCTAGAAATGACTTCAAGGTAATCATTAAGGCCGAAATATAGTTAGCCTCAAACAGAAAGACTGGATGACATTTTTTAAGAGAAACACATTTAGACTCTCAGGCCCTCTTTCACCTGGTTGGATGGACTCCCTCCATACCCACAGAGATTGACTTTCTGGGGAGGCTCTGGACTTGGGGCTGTGAAATATAGCTGAGGACAGAGGTGAGGTCCAGTTATGATAGCCACAGAGGAGCTAATGATGGCAGAAAGGCCAAGACCTGGGCCTAGATTCCGATTAGGGAGACTCACCCAGGAGAGGAGTCAGCTCCCTGGAGGTGATGAGAAGTTTATTAGTCAGATAAATAACTTATCTAGAAAGTACAGTTTATAGTTACAAGGTTATAGAGTTATGGGGTAGCGGGAAGAGCAGCAGACAGGCCACACGCAGCATGGGGCATCGTAACTGACACTCATCAAAACAGAAGTGAGGAGGATTTGCATGAACAAGAAAAGCTGCAAGTCAAGAGGGACTAGATATCTGGTCAGCATACAAGGGAGGGTCTCAGGGTCTGTTGAGTAAGGCAGAGACCTTGATCCTAAAACAAGAGTACAAGGTAGGAGACTGCTATCGGGGACACGGCAGAAGGGTGGCTATGCGAACTGGGACACAAGCCCAAGAGGATCTGGTAAGGCTGAACATGCTGGAGTCTCTAAGAACCTAGGAAACCAGAGCTCTTTAAATCTACTGAATGAGGACAGGACCCTTCTAGATCCTAAGACCAGCCAAACCCAAAAGCTGCCTCCACCAGAGGGAACCAGACAGGTTACATCTAAGCAACTGTGACTATCTGCTCATGGTCTTGACAGCTTTGATTAAGTCTGACAAGAAACCAGCTACACAGTCATATATTGTACAGCTGGTATCTAAATAGGGCTGCTTCCGACTGGCCAGCTCTAAGAAACTAAGCCTGAGAAAGTGGGTCCCAGACAAGGGCCATTCCTGACATTCTGGGTGTCACTTGAGCTTCAGGGTTAATAGTTCTAGATAAGGACTAAATTGTCCTATTTAAGCTTTCACTGATGCTGCTCTTAACAACTGGAAAGTTTAATAAAATTGTTTTCCAACCTCCAAGTATATCAAGCAAACTACATTTCACGTACTTTTGACACCTTTATAGCACTTTAGCTTAGTACTTATAAATCAATAGAAAAAGGCCAGGTGTGGTGACTCATGCCTGTAATCCCAGCAATTTGGGAAGCAGAGGCGGGCAGATCACCTGAGGTCAGGAGTTTGAGACCAGCCTGGCCAACACGGCAAAACCCTGTCTCTACTAAAAATACAAAAATTAGCTGGGCATGGTGTTGCGCACCTGTAATCCCAGCTACTTGAAAGGCTGAGGCAGGAGAATTGCGGGGAGGGGAGGGGAGAGGAGGGGAAGAAAGAAACTTTCTGGTGTAGAGTCACAGAGTGCAGCGTAGTATATTCTTTTCTAACTATTCCATTCTTCTGCCACGCTGGTTGATAACCACATAAAATCATAGAAAATAATGACACCTAGTGTCCAAAAATATTACTCTTCTTAGAATATAAACACAGATGGAGGAACGTGGTAATAAGCTTGCACATCTTCACAGAAAATGAGTAAATAAAAGCTAATTTTTCCTTACTCCACTAACAACAGAGAGGATTTTCCCACCATCTTCCGTCAAGCCTGCAATGCAGGGTCAGGTTCCTTGTAAACAGAAAGTCAGTGCAAAGGCTGTTACAGCCTCACAGAGGTGGCAGCAGGCATGAGCAGAAACACAGCCCCAACATCAAAACCTAAACAGAAGAGACCCACCATCAACTCGGCGCCTGTTTCTTTTTTCCAGCCCTGGTGATAAAATACAACACATTTTTAGATACCCGGTAAAATAGGGTCACTAGTAACTTCTTTTAAATGAAGTTTCAAAATGACTTAATCTATCTCTCTTTACTACCAGGCCTGTCAGTGAGGTCGCTGTGCAGTTTTTTTCTAACGGAAGCTGGACTCACCTCTGCTATCCTTTTCTTCAGGTTCTCCTTTCCCATGTACGAAGCCTGCAGGGAGATGACACTCTCTTCTTTTTGAATCAAAGTTGTCAAGATGCTTTTAAAATTCTGATATTGTTTTAAGAGCTCCAAAACTCTTCCACATTGTTCAAGACTATGAATAGAAAAATATACAATAGCTAAATGTCCAAAAATAGCAAAACCATTCTTTCTCTTTGCAAGTATACCACATAAATGATGAATAAGGCGTAAAGGACGTTTCCTCTTGATGTGATTCTTAACATTTTTTACCAATTTAACCTAAGAATGATGGCACATCAATATATCTGGCAAGTAGATGGCATAATCTCTGATTAGTACTGTCACTAGGTGAACATTAAAAAGTTACCAGATGTAAGGTCTACAAAGAAACACAGGATTCATCACCCTAAGGAATCAGCATCTCAATTTCATCATTAACCAAAAGACATCTCAGAAAACAGAGCCGCCTTAACGTAACTCTGGCAGATTATTTCAGTATCACTTCAGCAAGTCACAGGTTGTTTCTGTATCTATTCTTTTTTTTTTTTTTTTTTTTTTTTTTAGACAGAGTCTTGCTCTCTCACCCAGACTGGAGTGCAGGGGTGCAATCTTGACTCACTGCAACCTCCGCCTCCTGGATTCAAGCAATTCTCCTGCCTCAGCCTCCTGAGTAGCTGGGATTACAGGCAAATGCCACCAAGCCTGGCTAATTTTTGTATTTTTAGTAGAGACAGGGTTTTATCATGTTGGCCAGGCTGGTCTTGAACTCCTGACCTCAGGTGATCCGCCTGCCTTGGCCTCCCAAAGTGCTGGAATTATATATAGGTGTGAACCACCATGCCTGGCCTTTTATATATCTAATCTATTCATTCTGGATTTAGTCCTTTTTAAAACGTAAGGCAGTGAGACAATGTGGCAGTTAGGACACCTGGTTTCTACTACAGCTGGGCACTGCTTAGTCTGAGACTCTGGATAAGTTACTTTAGCCTCTTTGAATCTCAATTCTTTCCTCAGTAAAGTCAGAGGGTAGACTAGATCAAATACCACATATAGGGTTCATCTTGACTCCTGTACACTCAGGTTCCAGTAGGAAACAGGAGGTGTACCCCAGTGGAATTCTGAAGATTACGAAAATTTTTGCAACTAGCCCCGACTCTGCAGGAAACACAGCAGTTATTGACAGGCAACATCTCCCATTCAAGTAGGCGCGTGGGGTAAAGTAATGCTCCCAATTCCCAAAGATGCCTGGGCCTAATCCCTGGATCTTGTGAATGTTACCTTACAGGTTACCTCACAAGGCAAAAGGGACTTTGCAGAAGTGATTAAGCTAAGGATCTTAAACTACAGAGATTATCCAGGATTGCCCGTGTGGGCCTGGTGTAATCATAAGGGTCCTTCTGGGAGGGAGGCAGGGAGAGGTGTCAAAGGAGACGTGATGACAGAACAGAGGGCAGAGAGAGATTTGAAGATCCTGCACTGCTGCTTTAAAGATGGAGGAGGGGGACACAGGCCAAAGAATGTAGCAGGAGGCCTCTCGAACATGGAAAAGGCAAGGAAATGAATCTTGCCTAGTGCCTCCAGAAGGACCACAGCTTGATTTTTTTTTTTTTTTTTTTTTGGAGACAGGATCTCGCTCTGAAGTACAGTGGTGCTATCTCGGTTCGCTGAAACCTCAATCTCCCAGGCTCAAGTGATGTTCCCACCTCAGCTTCCTGAGTAGCTGGGACTACAGGCACCTGCAAGCATGCAGGTTAATTTTTTTATATTTTTTTAGAGATGGGGTTTCGCCGTATTGGCCAGGTTGGTCTCGAACTACTGACCTCAAGTGATCTGGCCACCCCAGCCTTCCAAAGTGTTGGGATTACAGGCATGAGCTACCATGTCTGGCCAATTTTTTTATGTTTTGTAGAGATGGGGGTTTCACCATGTTGGTCAGGCTGGTCTCAAACATGTAGGCTCAAGCAATCCTCTCACTTCAGCCTCACGAAGTGCTGGAATTACAGGTGTGAGCCACCTCACGCAGCCTATTTTACCACTTCTGACCTCCAGAAGCATAAGGTAATAAATCCATGTTCTTTTTAAGCCACTAAGTTCGTGGTGATTTGCTTGGTGATTTACAGCAATAGGAAACCAACCCAGTTGGGATGGTAATGAGCATAAACACACCATATTGTGTATGTGTTATGCTTCATGGAGAACCTCTTTGCTGCACTCTGGCTATAATCTACAATTCTAGGTCTTGTCCCAGACACTGGCCCTGTGAACTCCAGTGGGAAATCCTTAGGTTTGCCCTCCTTTGGGTCCACAGAGACGTGTTTTCAACCCAGAAGTTTGAAAAAGTTAATTGTGCTACAGACAATTTTTCAGATTCAAGAGGGATTCTTTTTTTCCTTACCATTCGGTGACCAAGGCTTTGGCATTCTCCCACAAGAGTACTGTATTTTGGCACTGCTGATTCACGGTTTTTTCTCTGCCGTCTTTGAAGTGTGGAAGAGAATTAGCCATTCCTTGTAAATGTATCTTCTCTTCTTCATATTCATCTAGAACCTTATCCAGTCTGATTAATGATTTTTTCCTTGATTATGAATGAGAAAAAAGTTTGATAGCCAACTGTTAACCACTGAATCAACACAAATATGGGTAATCTGGGGAGGCACAGTAACCTTAATTTGTCCTCATGAGGTTAATGCCAATATTACACATTCCTGTTACAGAGTTCGGGAGGCTCTTTGCATTTCCAGAATTTTTCTGATTTTTTTTTTTTTTTTGGTCTTATTTTGTTTTGCTTGTCTCACTTTGTCACCTACGCTGAGTGCAGTGGCACAATCTCAGCTCACTGCAGCCTCAACCTCCTAGGCTCAAGTGATCTTCTTCCCACCTCAGTCTCCTGAATAGCTGGTACCACACATGCACACCACCACGCCTGGCTAATTTTTTATTTTTTGTAGAGATGGGGTCTCACTATGTTGCCCAGGCTTGTCTCAAACTCCTGGACTCAAGCAATCCTCCTGGCTCAGCTTCCCAAAGTGCTAGGATTACAGGTGTGAGCTACTGTGCCTGGCTGCATTTCCAGAATATTAATTTGGTGCTTTAAATAAATATAATAAATATACACAACCATTAGCAGTAACATGTTTCTGTGATGAAGAAACATGAGAGGAAAGAGAGAGAAACACACACATGAGAGGAAAGAGAGAGAGACAAAGCGCATATGTGTGCTTATGTAGGGGCAAGACAGCATGATATGGCAGAAGAGGAGAAGGTGAATGACCAAGAACTACAGGATCCTAAGAAGGATGGGGTGGCCAAGGAGAAAGACAAAGACAAGAGAAATCTTGCACTACTCCTTTATGTACAAAAAGCTCTCCCAATCAAAAAGGAGTTATTTAAGGATAAAGTAATACTGAAGGGATTAACACCATTCACCTAAATCTAAATTGCTAAACTGCTCACAGCCTCTACTTCCTGGCCTCCAATTTTCTCTTCAATTCACTCCCATAAGGTTTTCATTCTCTACTGCCTACTGTAACAGCTGGCCTCCACATTGCAAAATCCCTGTTCCACTCTCAATCTTCACCTCACCTCACTAATCAGCAGCATTTGACACTTGGTCATTTCCTCCTTGTTGAGATGTCTTCTTCAGGTAGCCCCAGAAGTCTCTTGATTTTCCTCCTACTATACTGGCCTCTCCGTTCTCAGTTTCTTCACCTGGTTCCCCCTCATCTCCCTGATCCCTCAATACGGAATGCCCAGAGTATGGATCCAACTTGGACCTCTTCTCTTGTTTATCTAAACTCACTCCCCTCAGAAATTTCATCCAATCTCATAGCTTTAAACAGCCTTGTAAAATGATGAAAACTCTCAAATATACACCTCTAGCCCAGACCTCTCTCCTGATTCCTAATGCCATCTATTTTTACGTGTCTTATTGATATTGCTGCTTGAATGTCTAGTATGTCTTGAATATATCATTTCTAAAACTGAGCACACCCAATCTTTCATTCAATACTGAAAAATTTCATCCAAGACTGATAAACTTTAGTCTTTTTCATCTCAGTTAATGGTAACTCAGTTCTTACTCACTGCTCAAGTTACCATTGACACAACGGATAATGAGAGGCAAGAGCACCTGAACCCAGAGGAAGATTCCAATGTTTGTTGGAAGCATTCTTGACCCCAATATCTCTTTTACACCCCATGTCCATGTGTCAATAAATCATCTGTTCTCTATCTTCAAACTATATACAGAATCTCAACACTTTCTACCACATTACCACTGGATCATGCCAGCTTCATCCCTGCCAGGGATTACAATAGGTCAAACCAGACTTCCCATGTCTTCTCTCAACTCCTACAGTCTATTTTCAACACATCAGCCAGACACAACAGGTTATGATGAAAACCAACACATTTCCCTCTGTTTAGAACCCTGCTATGACTTCCCATGTCACTAGAAGAACAAGCCAAAGTCATCAAACAGCCCAAAAGTTCCTGCATGAGCTAAGCTACATCTCCCCCTCACTACTGCACCTTCTCACCTCCTTGCCTCTTCTCTAAAAACACAACTGACCTTTGTACCTACTGCTCTAGAAGGCTATTCCTTCAGGTTCGAGTGGCTTGCTCTTTCCTCTCATCTGATGCCAAGGCCACCTTCTCAGTGAGACCTTCCCTGATTATCCTGTTCAGTAGCAATCCCTTCCACCTTAAATAGAATTTCTCCTCCTCTCCTCTCCTCCACTCCCCTCCCCTCTCCTCTCCTTTTCTTTGAGACAGGGTCTTACTGTGTCACCCAGGATGGAGGGCAGTGGTACAATCGCATGCAGTGGTGGGATTCCCTAAGAATGAAAGTTTCATTGAGCCTGAGGGTGTGGGGCATTTCAGAGGGAAAGGCACACTTGACTACATTGAGGGCTTGGTCATCTAAAGACCCTTGAGAGACCACTGAGCCTGAGGAACTAAAGGCGGGCAGAGGAGGAGATAGAAAGTGAGACAGATTTAGAAAGGGGGGAAGAGGCCAGGCACGTAAGAGGAAGAGGCCAGGCTCACGCCTATAATCCCAGCACTTTGGGAGGTCAAAGGGGGTGGATCACCTGAGGTCAGGAGTTCGAGACCAGCCTGGTCAACATGGTAAAACTCCGTCTCTACTAAAAATAGAAAAATTAGCCAGGCATGGTGGCGCAACCCTATAATCCCAGCTACTAGTGGGGCTGAGATAGGAGAATCGCCTAAACCTGGGAGGCAGAGGTTGTAGTGAGCCGAAATCGTACCACTGTGCCCCAGCTTGGGCAAGGCTCTGTCTCAAAAACAAACAAACAAAAAAACACAACAGTGGCTCACGCATGTAATCCCAGCACTTTAGGACACTGAGGCAGGTAGATCATGAGGTCAGGAGATTGAGACCATCCTGGCCAACATAGTGAAACTCCATCCCTACTAAAATACAAAAAAAAAAAAAAATTAGCCGGGCGTGGTGGCATGTACCTGTAGTCCCAGCTACTCGAGAGGCTGAGGCAGGGCAATCACTTGAACCCGGGAAGTTGCAGTGCGCCAAGATCATGCCACTGCACTCCAGCCTGGTGACAGAGCAAGACTCCATTGAAAGAAAGGAGGAGAGGGGAGGGGAGAGGAGTGGAGGGGAACGAAGCGGAGCGGAGAGGAGAGGAGAGGGAAAGAATTCCACAAAAGCGACTCTTGCTAACATTTTAGCTTTTGGAATTTGAAGGCCCTACTCCAAATGCTGGAATTAAAATGGCAGCAGGTATATAGAAGGCTGCCAACCTCAGTCTACTGCAACTCTGCTCCATCTCCAGAATCAACATGAACTTTAGATTGCCTCTTAAATTCAGTCTCCTGCCCTTCCACTCAGTTCCCACCCTAATCCTGCCGGGAGGAGAAGGAGACCAAATAACTAAGAAAGCAGCAGGGACAAGATGTGGCACATGCATCTTCCACCACTGGTTTCATTAATATCACATGCATGGAGTCTGCCAGTCATCCGTCCTGAGGAGAACTCCACAGTAAACAGACAGAAGTACAAGGGAATCGGTAGTAACTCATGTACAGTACTTTATGCATATCTGACTTCACCACTTCTTTGTCCATAAGACACACTCTAAAGAGGAAAGAAAAATTATGCCACGTTTTGTACAGGTACAATACCAACAAAAAGGAAGTTTGCCTGAAAAGTCTACAGAAAAGAATGCTGAACACTGAATACAGTGGGATGGAATAGAAGCAGAAAGACATAGGAAGAATATCTTTCACCTAATAGACGTGAAAATACAGAAAGGTGCTAGTCATCTTGGATGGAAATGGATGGACAATACTTACCGATGTTTCACAGCGGGAACAGTAGGATCCTTAAGACCAATTTTACTGATTTGACTCTGCACATCTTGAATATTTTTACGGAGTTCATTATTTTTGAATATACAAGCCTCTAGTAATCTGTTTTCCTCAGTGAATTCCTCCTGTACCCCACAGCCATGTGTCTCAGGTAACTTTACTGATAAAGCACCAAGAAGGTTTTCACAGGAGGTGTCTTCACCCAATTCAGCATCTTTAAAGCTCATATCAAGCATCTTCAAACGTTTATCCAAATGTTTGGCCTTGTCTTTCATCAGATGAATTTCTCCCTCTTTATTTTTCACTGTCAAAGTATTTTCTTGTGCCACCTGTGTATCTGAGGCTGAGAGGTCTATAAAGGGCTCAGCAGAGAGTTTAGCTGTTCTGAGAGATGCCAAAAAGTCTTCCAGAGCTTTCAGAGTATCTTCACTCCTCTGCACCTTGTGGTTCATTTCTTCAAATTGTGTTTTGTACTTCAGTATAATATTCTGCATTGCATGTAGATCAAATGGGTGTAATTCCTTTAATATAAAGTTGCCTGGCTCTTCTAAGCGGTTACATATTTCAATCTGTTTTGCAGTAGAATCTTGGATATTCTAAAATAAAGATAAGAAAAGCTAAAAAACTGAGGTGGAAAAAAGAAAGACTGCTTGTGAGAAACCAGCCCCAAACTGCATGACTAGATTTGATCTAGAAAAATGCGTTTCAGTTTAACAAAAGGTGACAGTTTCTACCTAAGGAAACATTTTAATTACAAATGATCAGATGTCCCAGCTGATGTTTCAATCCCAAAAAGAAAACAAGCACATAAATCTATTGCTTCAAAGCAAATAATCAGATATTAAACTGTTCAGAAAACAATTTTATAATCTGAAAAATAAACAAATATTTTTATTTAAGATGGCATTTAGAATAAGAAAACAGTAGAATATGGCATTTAAGCATGAGTCTAGTATATTTAGGAATTCAGTTACTGAAGAAGGCATTCATAAACAAGGTTTCCTTTTGAATTCAAAGAAAATACCTCATTATGTACTCCATGGTACCTACCTCCAAATTTGTAAGGAATTAAAGAGTTAAGAAATAAAAAACAAGTCTAAATTACTGAAAAAAAATTTGTTGTGACTTATACTCTTAATCTATGCTATGACGAATAATTAAAAATCCATAAAGATTTATAAATCTCAGAAGACTTGATTATTCTGTAAATCACTGTGAGAACTTACATACTTACCCTTAGGTGTTGATAAATGCCATCAGCATCAATGAGATGAAATCCCTGGATGGCCATTTTATGGAGAGGCAGGTCGGAGCCACAGAGAAGAAATGATGCCTTCTCCACAGGTAACACAAGCTGCAGTGCTGTCTCTAAAGATTCCATCCTGGGTGCAAGGTAAACCAGACATGAGGGGAAAACACAGCAGAAAGATATCCTATAAAACTGATTAACACAATTACTGAACTAAGAACAGAAAATAATTATCCAATAAATAGACATACAATGATATATACACATCATCACATTAATACCTAAACCCATTGATTCAAAATGCCAAAGAATGAATGGGTTGCTATATCCAAGTATTCTTTCATATGCTCATCCATCTAGCCATTTATTCATTCATTCATTCAACATACATTTATTTAGTGAGAGGCAGCAGAGCTAGGTTAAAAATGACCCACTGGGCCAGACAACTCCAGCTGTTTCGGTATAATTAATGATTTCTCCTTTCACTCCAAAAAGCATCCCAATACCCAAGTATTCTCTTTTTTTTTCTTTTTGTATTTTTAGTAGAGACAGTGTTTCACCCTGTTGGCCAGGCTGGTCTCGAACTCCTGACCTCAAGTGATCTGCCTGCCTTGGCCTCCCAAAGTGCTGGGATTATGGGCAGAAGCCACCGTGCCTGGCCCCAAAGTATTCTTAGCAGGGTAATATATACCACACTGAATGGAAAATTGTAAAACATACTAAGCCTTTCTCTCTCTTTTAAAATAAAAACAGAATTGTAACTTAACTTCACCTTGACAACTAAGAAACCTCATAATTACCTTAATTATGGAATAATTTGTTAAATTTCCATATTACAAATATAATGGGGTCCAAAGAATAGGCTCCACTGATAAGAAATTGAAGTGTGGGACCATAGGTAAGTAATATATAGACTCTGAGCCTCAGTTTTTTCCTATATATAGAGGAATATATGCTGGGGGTACATATTCTATGTATACAAGGTCCTAATAACACTCTCATTTCAGAAATGAAGAGATTAATGCCCACAGAGTTTATGCGACTTGGTCAAATTCATGCCCAAAAGAGACAGTGGAAAGACTGTGGCCTTTGAACCTTGGCAGACCTTAAGTTCTACCAAGTTTCTAGGTAGCAGCGTGGCCTGGTTATATTATTAACATTTAACTTCTCGGAGTATCAGTTTCCTTATCAGAAAAATGCAATCATAATGGTAGCCTCTCTTACTGTTGTTGTGACATCCAAACAAAATAAGATACTTAGTATAGCAATAGTCTTGCTTAAAATGGCATTACTGGATTTAGTGAGTTTATTAGAGTCATAGTTAATAGATCTCAGAATTTTACCTGGTATTAAGAGTCATCTGAAGCTCTCTTTCTCTTTCCTTTAGTTTGTCTCTTTCCTTAATGATAAAAGGCTTCTTTATGTCACTCACATGATTTTCTAACTTCAATGAAATAATTTCAAACTCTTTCCAGCAAACATCAGTTTCTTTTTTTATGACCTAGATGGAACACATTAATCGATTTATCAACTAATGGGGTTAATAGGCACAATTATTCTGTTCTTAAAACATGAGACATTCACCAACTGTGGAGGCAAACACAATGTTTCACATGGAAATGTGTTTTAAAATATTTTCCAACCATCTACAAGTCAACTATCCTTTAGGGAACAATGACGTTAACTGTGCTCTCAGAGGACTCATTCAATGAAGTCAAGGGAGTCGACAAGGTGGCTTTCAAAGGTACCCAAACTCCCTTCCCCTAAGGTAATTACCCAGAATACAATTCAGGAAAATACAGACACATGTAAGAACAGATATTCTGTTTTCTCTGGATAGGAAATCTTTGTTACCTTCTAAACTAAAAGAAAACTAGAGTGAACCAAAACTATTTCTATATAAATAAGAAGTAAATTAAATTAATTTATGGTTTATGATTAACATCTATAATTCTATACTATTCCAGCTCCTTATCTTGATTCTTTTTTTTCAGTAAGGGACTGCTATATAATACTACTGACAGATCAGCAACCAGCAGTATAATTTGTTCTTCACTTTACCCAAAGATCAGTATGGTTTTTCTAACCAACTCATTATTCAGTCACTGGAGAAATGTCTCAAGACAGTTTCTTAATTGTGATGAAAACATGCTAAATCCATCACTTGAGCAACAGGGATTTTAACATATAAATTTTGCTTATTCAGATGAAAAATAGAGAGCAGTCAGATGGTAGAGTGTGACTGAGACCTGGTATAATAAAATAAAAGAAACTAGCAGTGGAAGGATGTTGTAGGAACTACCCATGGCCCTCCATCTGGGAGGGCTCCCTCTAATGCACTCAGGGCGGGCATCAAGAATGCACGGCAATGCACAGATCATCTTCAAACTAGGAAAGATATTATTTGTAGAAGTTGTGATTTGTGTGCCAACTACTAATAGATTGCTTCTTTCTGTTGTTTCTGAGTCACCTGCAATAACTTCCACTGAAGGCTTTTTAGGAGGAGAATCCATCATTTAGAGTGAAAACTCCCTCCACTGCCTACCCCTAAATGCCCAACATCAGACAGTCAACAATCACTGTACAGCAATTTTAGACAATGTGATCATTTGGTAAAGATGAAGGACTGAAACAAACATTCAGAGTCACTGGCTGGTTAACTTTGGAGCAACCCAGGAGCAGGATGAAATTCCCTTCAAAAACACGTTGTTTTTGATCAATTCCCTTGAAGTTTGAAGCACAAAAAGAAATAAATACACAAAAACTCTTCAAGCCACAATATTTGGAGTACCAGATTAGAGTATAAGCAGTAAATTAAGACCCTAAATCAAAGTCTTTCCTGGGGTTGGTACTTGAAAGAAAATCACTTTATAATAGGGTGACATTAGAAATGCAATCCAGCAAAGAGAGTTCTTTGGAAACATTTGGCATATGTGACCTCAGCAGAAAAGGGGATGTCCCGACTCACAGTGGTACTATTTTCTAATAAACAAGATAACCAGAGAAATAATATTTTTGGTAATTACCTGTAAATCTGTCAGTTTGGCCTGCAGACAAGAACTACTCCTGTCCTCTTCACTAGAGAAATCAGAAGTAACCCTGAATTTGTTGTTTTGCAGGTGGTTTTCAAGAATATCTCTGTATGTATCATACCTGGGCAAAATGAAATGCAACATCACAATAGTTAATTTTTAAAATAACACAGGCCAAGCGCAGTGGCTCGCACTTGTAATCCTAGCACTTTGGGAGGCCAAGGCGGGTGGATTGCCTGAAGTCAGGAGTTTGAGACCAGCCTGGCCAACATGGCGAAACCTCATCTCTACTAAAACTACAAAAAATTAGCTGGGCATGGTGGCAGGTGCCTATAATCTCAGCTACTCAGGAGGCTGAGGCAGGAGAATCACTTGATCCTGGGAGGCGGAGGTTGCAGCAAGCCGAGATGGCACCACTACATTCCAGCCTGGGCAACAGAATGAGACTCTGTCCCAAAAATATAAAAATAAAATAACACAAAGATAAACAAAAAACAAACAAAAAAAATAAGAAAAATAAAATAATACAAAGAAATATTTAAAAATTACTGTCAACTACATGTGAGGAAATACCATGAAATTTCTGTCTAAGTTACTGGACCACATGCAAAATGATGACTAACTGAAAATAAAATTTTTAAAAAGTATAACATGTTTGCATTGATGAAAGACTTTTGGTGGATTTTCCAGTTGTTTAAAAAGAGTTTACCTCTCTAGTAAACTATTTACAGATGCACTGTAATCCTTTTCCATAATGCTTCCTGTTTGCGGAGGCTTTAACTCTGATGCCAAGTTAAACTTCATAGTGGCTTCTATTGCCTAAGGGAATATGCAAAATAGTAAACAAAATATCTTAAACATACTTAATTATCTGGAAAAGATAAATGCTTTATGTTCAAAAATAAATCATTGATTCTTTATACCTCAAACGAGGAGATAATACAATTTCTCTGGGATGTCTCAGCTCAGAGAACAGTCTTTCCATAGGACAGAGGGGAGTTGCACCTTCTAATTGGTATGGCAGCATGGTAAAGGAAGACTCCCAGCCCCAAAATGCTATTTCTGCCTGAGACTCCATACCCATAGTCAAAAGTAGACAGAAGCCTACCATGCAGGAGCAGACCTCCAAAAACAAATTCGCCTCACCTCATTCCTTCCTGCACATGTTCTGATTGGCAGTCTGGACTACAGTATACAGTAAATATCAAATTATCTAGACTTTAGGAATTTAGAAAATTCAATTCCCGCAGAAAATGAAATACATTATAATGCAACAGAAAACGCAAATGATAAATGAACTTGTTCATCTCAATGAAATGGAAACATCTATACAGATCAAACTCAACCTCTTCTACCCTCAATAACAATGTACACAGATAATCGGTATTCATAATGGTTCAAAAGGGTCTCTGCCAGAAAGAACTATTTGTGTACTCAGAGGAAGATCAGGTTATGCTCGCTATAGCTTTGGTTAGTTGCATTCTCATTTGAAAATCAGTCTTTTGCATTGTGTAAGTGGAAATTCTCCATTGAGAAAAACAATCGGATAATTATAACCAACACCTAATTAATGAGAAGTGAATTATGGTACACTTGGTCTTTTACATTGGGTTTACTTCTAAAACACATTATCCACATTTAACACCTTTTCAGTTGATGGCTGATTATCTGATTTTGCAAATGGTGCCTCACTGTGGGAATCCCCTCCTCTATTCTCAGATGTGGAGATGGTCCCCCTAGAAAGGAATCAAAATTGCGTGTTTAAAAGAGAGCAAGAAATATGAAACCTAAACAAGCATGACTAACGCTTAATGTCATCTAATTGTGCAAAAGGCTTCGTTTTATCCTGAAGGGTAGCTATTCTTATGAAGTACTAACTCGTTTTTCGACGTGCCCCCCACTGTGGGCTGCAGTGTCATATGAATCTCGGAAGCACATTTCAGAAGTCTTTCTATCTTTTGTTCATAATCTTTGAGTAGTCTCTTCACTTCTTGTTGACTCTTCTGTGAAGGCAGCTCTTCACACAGCTCCCTCAGGACTTCCATGTGGTGATTAAGCTGGTACAGGCAGCCTTCCTCAGAAAAGCAGGCCTAATTGAAGAAATAAAGCAGGAAATGTGCTTCAGATGAGTTTACATGATTATTCCATAAGGACTAGAAACTAACAGATGTGTGTGGTTTTAACAATGCGTTCTTGTATAGGCCATCTACGTGCTATAACAATAGGCGCTGGAGAAAAAAAGATGAGGGAGTCAGCCCTAAAGGGGTTTTCAGTTCAGTAACCTAGACACACAAAGAACCAGCATAGAGTGTGCTAAGTGTTATGATAGAGCCTATGTGCCTGAAGGAGTCAGAGAAAGCCTGCCTCACAAGAGCGAAGCCTCTGAACTATATGTGGAAGAAAGGACAAATTCTCCAAGTAAAAGGGGAGAGAGGCTATTGCTAGCAGAAGGACCACCAAGAGGACGAAAACCACGAAGATAATGAAAAGCATTAGATGTCTCAAAGGACCAGTACTCCCGTAGGGCTGGACTGCACAGCACAGGAGGGATGCTAAAGGGGTTTCCTGGGCCAGGCTATGAAGGAACTAAGTGGCCTTCTAAAATGTCTGGAATTGTCCTGGGGGTATGGCGAACTGGCGACGTAAGATTTGTGGCTCAAAAGGACAACTCTGCTGCTGGTATGGAAGATGAGATGAAGCAACCATCATCATTCTGAGAAAAGAACCCTGGCTTAGATAAGTGGCAACACTACTGGAAAGGAAGAAGCTGTTCTGAAGAATACCAGATGGGGCTTGGCAACAGATTTAATTAAGCCTGAGTGGAAAGGAAGGGAGGAAGGAGAGGAAGGGCGTCATGAGACAGCAATGCCATTCATTACCAGGAGGCAGAATACAAAATGAACCTTTGAGAGGAGATATTATTGGTTCAGTTTTGAGCTCGCTGAATTTGAGTTCTCCGAAAAACACTGGTGATATCTACTAGTCAGTGAGAAATAGAACATAGAATTCAGGTGAAACGACTCAGGTGGAGAGAAAAATTGATGCACTATCATTGCAGAGAAGGCAGGTCAAACCCCAGAGTGCATAAAATCGCCTAAGGGAAGCATGAAATTAGCCAAAAGTGGAGGTGGAGACCCCCTTCTTCAAAAGCAAAACACTAAGATAATAGAATAAAAAGGAATATTTGTGAAGACACTAAAAAGAACTCACTGCAAATTATATATTGCTATGTATTTACATATCTACATCTATATTTATATATATCTACATAGATAGACAGATGATAGATAGATAGATAGATAGATAGATAGATAGATAGATAGATAGATAGATAGATAGATATAGAATTATATAAAGCAAGAGAGACTGACAGTGGGAGAGCCATAGCAGTAGAAACTTAAAAAGAAACAAAAAAAAGGGTCAGAAATGTCACATACATAAAAGCAATCAAATAGGATGGAGACCAAAAAAAGATCATGAGATTTGCCCTAGCTGCTTTATACCCTGATTTGCTCGTTTTCTCAAAAGCTGTGCTTCTGAGGACACTGTATACTGACAAAAGCCAACTATGGGTACTTTAGTAACAGTTGACACATTTGTGACCAGAGTCTGAGGACAGGGGCCATTGAGACACATCAAGGGAAATCATAAAATATTAACTCAGTGCCGAATTTTCTCACTTTTAAAAAGTAAGAAGCACAGGCTCTGTGAAGCACAGAAGTGATCATCCCCAGGGGAGAGGAGGGCTGGGTAATTTTCAAGTTTCATCCTAGACTAAAGATACACACAACCATTTAAGATAAACCCCAAAATGATGACGAAATTTAAGTGGAAACACGTTATTGTACCTCATGTTCTTTGATGAGACCCTTGGTCCTTCCTCTACGGATAAGTTTCTTTTCTTTATTTATTTGCTTTTCAAGTTTTAAAATATTGTCACTAAGCTTCCCTTTTTCAATATCTATTTTCAGTTGTTGAACATATAAAGACAGTTCATGATGAAGAGACTGCAAAAAAAAAAAAAAAAAGGGGGGGGGATATATTAACCACGGGAACAAAATATACAAAAAAGTATTTATAGTAACAATAAATACATGTGTAGTGACAAAAGGACAGAAACAAAGCTTAAGTGCCATTCTGATTCATCCATATATTTTGGGGGGAGATGTTTTAAAACATCCCAGGCCCATAAACATGGGGTTTTTTTTCTAACTAGAAATGTATTTTAGCTGTGAAAGGCACTGTTAAGAAAATGAAAAGACAAGCTACAGACTGAGGGAAACTGTATGCGAACAGATAACTGAGCCCATGGAGACATAAGTAAATGTAATGTGTATCCTGGATGAGATTCTAGAACAGACAGAAAGAACATCTGGGGAAAACTGTGAAAAGGTCAATAAAGTGCAAACTTTAGGTAATAATAATGTATCAACCTGTCAGAGTAAACTGCTAGAAAAAACAATGTATTAACATTGACCCAGTAATTGTATCAACGATACTATACTAATGTAAGATGCTGATAACAGAGGAATCTGGGCATGGGGTACACTGGAACTCTCTGCACCATCTTTACAGTAATTCTGTAAATCTAAAACTATTTTAAAGTAAAAAAAAGTTTATTTTAAAACGAGTTTTAAGAGGATCCTTAACAGTACATATTCAATCCTCTTACACACAGAGATATAGACACATACATTTTAATTATCATATTAATTACACATTTCAATATTATCATTTAATATTAATTGCCATTAATTATCAGAGCACAATCTCAGTGGTAGATGCTTTCTACAAATCATTGCATCAAGTCCGCCCAGTAGGTGGTGTTATCTCATTTTTATCAGGGAGGCTCCTAAAAGTTAACTACCTTGCTCAGCGTCATAGCTGCTGAATCCAGGTTTGTCTGCCACCAAAGCCTAGACCTATTCTGCTATGAAACTCTGTATGAACCCTGGGACTGCAGCCTGCAGGGACCAGCCCACCGGTGATACAGCGTAGGCAGGAAAACCCCAGGAATGGCTCTGACAACCGACAGCCCAGGACCAGACATATAAAAACGTAAGTGCAGTGACATATGCATGTTCTTACCTCCCACTTGGCACACACATCTCTATTCTTTTCTTCTAAAGACATCTTTATGTCCTCAGTTACATTATTTTTCAGTTCTTCAACAGCTTTCAAATACTTGGCCAGACTCTTTGTATTATAAATTATTAGTGCTTCCTAAAGAAAAAAAAATGCAAACGAGATCATAGAAACCTCATTCTAATTCTACTGCCAAATCTTCAAAGCTAATTTTGGTATGTCTTTAACTGGTAAAGTAGGAAGGGGCTCTCTGAAGAACATCTGAAGATTTATAGGAGACTTCTCTTTGTAAACTGAGGTTGCTAGCCCTTTGGCATCTCTTGAATTCTTTTCAAAAGAGTGCCAAAATATTTATTATTCAAATGTAGTTACACATGAGGCCCAGATTAAGATACCCCCATGATATTCAAAATGATTTTTGTTACCCCATTGATAAGTAATTATAAAGTTCACTGTACAGGTTTAATAAGCCACTGGTTAAGTTTCCTCTGAAGTTCTTAAGTATTGAGCAGACAACCATACTTCAGAAGCAATATAACATGAAGTCTACCAGTTTTGTTTTGTTTTTTGTTTTGAGATAAGTTCTCGATCTGTCACCTAGGCTGAAGTGCAGTGGCACAATCACAGCTCACTGAAACCTCAAACTCCTGGGCTCAAGCAAGCCTCCCACCTCAGCCTCCCAGAATGCTGGGATCACAGGTGTGAGCCACCGTACCCGGCCAAGACAAAATTTATAGAAAGGTTAACTATCGTGCATGAGCAGTTAGCTGAAAGGAGGCCAATTTGTTTCACCATCAACTTCAAAGTTTTGCCCAGGGCCACTCATGTTGGCAGTCTCTCCCCAGCAGTACACAAGGATGGGAACAGCCCTGACAGGCATTTGTCTGCTCCTAACCTGACATACTCTACAGGAGCAGAAACATGGCCTAGGTAACTAGTGAATGACAGAACAAAAAAACAGGTCAGGGCCTGTGTGTGAAAAAGGCCCCTACAGGAGAGAGAAGATGAAAGTCATTCTCAGGGAGAAGCCAAGCAGGGTGGGAATTTGCTCATTCACTCATTATACATGTTTATGGACTGGCTGCAGGTAAGGCACAATGTTGAGCTCCAGGGCCCTCCTCCGAGGCGTCCTGGAGGACTGCTAGATTTATGACCTGGGGAGACACCTTTACCCTGTATGCTAGTCATAGCTGGGAGCTCCCACTGCCCGTGTGTGCATGCCTACCAGGACAGGGATCTTGCTTCTGCTGTGAAAGTGTACCCACTTGACTAAATGCCATTGGCAAAATGGGGGAAAACCAAAAGGAAGATGCTCAGGGAGAGGAAAATGGTGTGAGAACTGACACCTCCAGCCCTTCTCTGGTAAATGCTGAGTATGAATGAACAAAAGAGCTGGTATTACTCCACCTCTCCCATTTGCTCCAAGGTAGAGGCATTTAGCTTTGCTTCTAATTCCCCCAGCACCTCCCACCATGTCAATTAATAGTGAGTCTCTGGTTTGGTGACATCTTAAGCTGCAACCTCAGCCTATCAAACCATAAAAATTAACCTGAAACTGTCTCTATAAAAAACACTATTAGGTCTTTAACTACAGATAAGCATGTTTCAAAGTTTTTTAATAATAATGGTATTTTTTTACATTCAGAGAATGTATGCAAAGTAATTTCATATGCCTTATTTTCACTTAAAGTCTCACAACAAATCTGACAGGTGGATAGGGCTGGAATTATTACACCAATTTTACAAATTAAAAAGCCAGAGAAATTAAATTCTTGTTCAATGTCATAGAGTCAGCTGCACTCTTTACACCATATCACTGAGTACATTCAGCAGATCCACAATAAAATTTGAATTAAAAAATTCTATACTTCAATACTTACATTTAGTAACCTCAGGGGAACGATACATAATACTGGGAAATTCTTTTTAAGTTATAGTAACTCAGTATATAATTACAGTGAAGGAAACATCTTGATTTCAAACAAGATAGGCAGTTAACAATAAATGTCTTACATTTGATGGTTGAAAAGATTCCCACCTTGTATTTTGAAATGAGTTGACCGGGGCTCTCTCTTTGCCCCAGTAACTGCTGAGCCCTCGTCATATATGATTCAAGTTCCTTCTGGGATTCTTCCATCTTCAGCCTGATGTCCAATTCTGGTGAAACGTCGGTTGAGTTCTTCAATGCTGCAACAAGTTTTACCACATTGATCTTGAAGAAAAAAAAATTCTCAAATTAACACAGGGACCAATTCTTAATAAATTCTTAAGTTAACAAATACTTTGACTACTTGTTATTTTCCCACTAGACAAAGAGATTTAGATATCTATCTAAATCATGATAAATCTATCTAAATTATGATAAATCTATCTAAACGTAGATATCTATCTAAATTATGATACTTATATACTATGATACTTATATTTTCCGACATGCTCTAAATTATAAAGAAATAAAACACAAAGCAAAAGTAATATTTTATGAAACGTTTCCAAGCTACAGGGCTATCACCCCCCTTCACTGCCCACCCAGTGACCCCTCAGTTTTAGAGAAGAGAATTACTAAATAGCGAATATTAAAGAGAGACCTGGACTTTCTCTTTAGCTTCTTGAATCTTTGCCTGAAGTCCAGTTGTGAGAACATGTTGAAAGGACTCCTGGCTTGAAATATTTTGTATATCCATTTGTAACGTATCTTCAGTTCTTGCCATAAGCTCATCATACATAGAGCCTCTGGCAATAAGATGCTATTAAAACAAATTGAAGTGAGATTACAATAAACATTCTTCTTATATGTTAAACATTAATCAAAACAATCTCAGGAAACCAAAAAAGTTCATTATTAATCCAAAATCCGGCAAATTTGCATTCTGAAAAATGATATTTTAAGGAGTCATTTTGAAAGTTCATATTGATACAATCAGATTCTGAACGTGTTTTATAGATTATAAAGTAAGCACTTCAATAAAATAAAGAATAAAAGTAATACAATGACAATAGAAAGAAAGTTGAGACAATGGTAATAAATTTTAAAATGAACTTGTTCCATGTCAAAGTAGTGAAGAGGAGAATTCAATAAATGTTACTGGAGAAAATAGCCATCAGAAAATAACCTTTATATATCATAACAGAAATAAATTCCAAATGGGTCAGAAATATGAAATCACAAAAAGAAGACATTATCCATAAAAACCAATCTGCAGCCAGGTGCAGTGACTCACGCCTGTAATCCTAGCACTTTGGGAAGCTGAAGCGGGCTGATCACCTGAGGTCAGGAGTTCGAGACCGCCCTGGCCAACATGGTGAAACCCCATCTCTACTAAAAATACAAAATTAGCTGGTCATGGTGGCAGGCGCCTGTAATCCCAGTTACTCGGGAGACTGAGGCAGGAGAACTGCTTGAACCCAGGAGGCAGAGGTTGCAGTGAGCCAAGACTGTGCTCCTGAACTCCAGCCTGGGTGATAAGAGCAAAACTCCATCTCAAAAAATACAATAAAATAAATGAAATAAAATAAAACTGGCGGTGGCTCGTGCCTGTAATCCAAGCACTTTGGGAGGCCGAGGTGGGTGGATCATTTGAGGTCAGGAGTTTGAGATCAGCCTGGCCAACATGGGGAAACCCGACCTCTACTAAAAATACAAAAATTAGCCAGGTGTGGTGGCGGGTGCCTATAGTCCCAGCTACTTGAGAGGCCGAGGTAGAAGAATCTCTTGAACCTGGGAGGTAGAGATTGCAGTGAGCCAAGATTGCACCACTGCACTCCAGCCAGGGCAACAGAGCGAGACTCCGTCTCAAAAAAATAATAAAATGAAATAAAATCTGATCTGCTATCTCACTGCAGAGGGTCTTTCCAGGCCTAAGAGTAGGGACAGACATGACTGCATAAATATAAAAACCCTGCAGTGCAAAATAAAATAAACAAAGTCAACAACTCAGCAAAAATATTTGACACAGAAATGAAAATGGATCACAATTCAAAGAGCTTGTATAATTCAATTTAAAAAATGCCAGGATCCCAAAGAAAATTTTGAAAATATAAGAACAGATAATTCACAGAAACAGATGTCTAATAAATATATGATCGTTCAGTATTACATGTAGTCAAATAACTACGCATTAAAACAGTAAGGAGATACCACTTTTCAGTTCTCAAGTTAGCAAAAAATAATTTTTTAATTACAACTCACAGTGGCATGGAGATACGGTTTGGCTGTGTCCCCACCCAAATCTCATCTTGAATTCCTACTAGTTGTGGGAGAGACCCGGTGAGAGGTAATTGAATCATGAGGGCAGATCTTTCCTGTGCTGTTCTCATATAGGGAGTTGCCCTGCACAAACCCTCTTCTCTTGTCTGCCACCACATAGACATGCCTTTCACTCTCCGCCATGATTGTGAGGCCTTCCCAGCCACGTGGAACTATAAGTCCATTAAACCTCTTTCTTTTGTCAGTTGCCCAGTCTCAGGTATGTCTTTAATAGCAGGGTGAAAACAAACTAATATACATGGGTATGATCAAATAGAAGTTATAGTGTGTGATATCAACTATGTAAATGTTGATCTTATTTGTCTTGGGGCACTGGAATTAACAGTGATTTCAATTTTTTGAAATTAGCACGTTCATTTATAATTTCAATTGTTCCCTCTTTTAAATTATAAAACCAACAAAAAAGCTCATGTAATTAAAAAAACTGAAAAACAATAGAAAGGTACAGCATGTAAAGAAAATATTCATAGCCAGGCGTGGTGGCTCACGCCTACAGCACTTTGAGGGACGGAGGCGGACAAATCACTTTAGCCCAGGAGTTCAAGGCCAGCCTGGGCAATACAGCAAAACCCTATCTCTACTAAAAATAAAAGAATTAGCTGGGCGTGATGGTGCATGCCTGTAATCCCAGCTACTTGGGAGGCTGAAGTGGAAGGATCACTTGAACCTGAGGAGGCTGAGTGAGCCATGACTGTGCCACTGTACTCCAGCCTGGGTGACAGAGCAGAACCCTGTCTCAAAAAAAAGGAAAGAAAATATTTATTTTATGTCTACCATGTATTAAGAGCTGGGAATAACACAGGATTAAGATAGACTCAGTTACTGGTATAGCTTTACAGATATTTTTCTATGAATATAAATGCATTATATATAAAAATACAACTCTGTTTAAAAACCACAAATGAGATTACATTATCTCATTATCCATACAGTTTAGGAACTTGTATTTCTTACTTTAGAATATATCTTGATCCAATATTTTGATCCAATGAGTATCTACTTAATTCTTTCTTAATAGAAATATATTTCAGTGTGCTTGTATGTTCACAATAATTTTTAAATTATTTAAAAAATTTTTAAATTTTAATTTCTACCTCATTTTTTTCATGAAAATAAATTCCAGATACAGTAGATAAATAAATACTAAAAATCAGAAAAGCACTGGCAGATGAGATGGCATGATAAATTTATATAATATTTTCAAAGTAATAAAAACTATCACACAATGAAAACACAAAATGCTGAAATACACACTTTTCAGAAATGTAGGCTTAGAAAAATTATGTAAATGTTCCTTTTTATTCTAGGAACTTCCCATCTTGTTGTAATTTATGCTCTGTAGGTTTTATAGCTGAGCTGGAACTCAGTAAAAACCTCAATGACAACTCCTTTCCCAGGAGAACTAAGTGATATTAAAACACACTCTTGCCTCATTGCCTTTCAATGAGTTGACTGCCTGAGAATAAAGACAGAATGGAGATCTAACAACATGAGTCACTCTGCCTGCACTGAGTAAGGAAAGGAGAGTGGCTTCATCAGTGGGTGAACTTTCAAAGCACAGATTGTGTGATTTTTTTTTTTTTTTTTTTCTAGAAGGAGTTTCACTCCGTCGCCAGGCTGGAGTGCGGTGGTGCGATCTTGGCTCACTGCAACCTCCGCCTCCTGGGTTCAAGCAATTTTCCTGCCTCAGCCTCCCGAGTAGCTGGGACTACAGGTGCATGTGCCACCATGTCCAGCTAATTTTTTGTATTTTCAGTAGAGACGGGGTTTCACCATATTGGCCAGGATGGTCTCAATCTCTTGACCTTGTGATCCACCCGCTTCAACCGCCCAAAGTGCTGGAATTGCAGGCGTGAGCCACCGTGCCCAGCCTGATTGTATAATCTCTTATGTGTACTCTGTACTGAGCTCTATGAGACTGAACTCACTCATCTCTTCATTGTCCTCTGGTGCAAGAGAATATTTTAACCCACAGGTTATGGCTAAGAAAATAAGTCCAAGAGCTTAACATTCGTAGGTATTATCAGTGGTCTCCTAATCTAACCTCTGCTTTCAAGCAAAATAACAACAAATGATCCAGTGATAAAATCCATTCATTTTTAAAACACCCAACAAAGAAAATTAAAACTGTAGGTTTATTACTACTTACTTTAAAACTTTCTATTTATCTTAAAACATAAATGCACAACCATGAAAGTACCCTCTTAATACTTTTACACTCATACCTTCAAAGATTCTTCCATTGAGGTGTCCACATTATCTTGATCCAAAACAGATTTGGCTTCTGCCTCCCAGATTTCCACTTGTCCAATGAGTTTTTCAACATCTTTAGCCACTTTTAGTTGCCCTGTGAATTCTTCATCTTCTTTTTCATGTTCCTCTCCAGCCTACAACATTCAAAATTACCACTGAAAATGTCAGCATGTACATAACAAAATAATTTTCCTTTTCAAAAAGTTACACCTGTAATCCCAACTCTTCAGGAGGCCAGGGCAGGAGGATCGCTTTAGGCTAGGAGTTTGTGACCAGCCTGGGCAACAAAGCGAGACCTCATCTCTCCAAAAAATTTTAAAGTTAGCTGGACATAATGGTGCGTGCCTGTAGTTCTAGCTACTCAGGAGGCTGAGGCAAGCGAATTGCCTAAACCCAGGAGTTTGGAGCTATGATCATGCCACTGCATTCCAGCCTGGGCAACAAAGCAAGATCCTGTGTTCAAAAATAAAAGATAAAAATGTTACACCACTTTCTTTCCTGAAGAGTGCTAATTAAACATATTTTAACGATGTAAGATGTCATTCTTTGACAACAATAACTTTTTTTGTTTATATGAGGTCTCGCTTTATTGCCCAGGCTGGAGTACAGTGGCACAATCACAGCTCATTGCAGCCACAACCGCCCAGGCTCAAGTGATCCTCCCACCTCGGCTTCCCGAGTAGCTGGGATTACAGGCGTATGCCACTATGTCTAGCTAATTTTTTATATTTTGTAGAGATGGGGGTCTCACTATGTTGCCCAGGCTGATCTCAAACTCCTGGGCTTAAGCCCCATCTCAGCCTCCCAGAGAGCTGGGATTACAAGTATGAGCCACCATGCCTGGCCAATGATAACACTTCAAAATAGTATATATCACTTTGCAAATTAAAAAGTTTGTTCAGGGTTTCTTACTTAATTATAATATCATTCCTATCAGATAATACTTTCTCCATTTTACATGTAAGAAGATTAAAGTTTAGTAAATTATGGTAAGTGACGGTAAACACATTGCTAAAACTCATACACGATTTAAATAAATTCAGCTATTAGTAATGGTAGTTGTAAAATATCAAGAAGAAACTCGGAATCAAATTTCAACAAAACTAAATCTTTTCCCCATTAATAATCTATAGGTTGACATACTATAGCTTTACATGATAGATACATTATTTCTTAAACTATATGTTGACAAATTATAATGGCTTATATTTATGGAGTACACAGACACTTTTTTTTGTTTGTTTTTTTTGCGACGGAGTCTCAGTCTGTCACCCAGGCTGGAGTGCAGTGGTGCAATCTTGGCTCACGGCAATCTCCACCTCCTGGGTTCAAGCAATTCTCCTGCCTCAGCCTCCCACGTAGCTGGGATTACAGGCACCCGCCACCACTCCTGGCTAATTTTTGTATTTTTAGTAGAGATGGGGTGTCACCATGTTGGCCAGGCTGGTCTCAAACTCCTGACCTCAAGTGATCCGCCTGCCTCAGCCTTCCAAAGTGCTGGGATGACAGGCGTGAGCCACCGCTCCCAGCCCAAAGATACATTCTTAAAGTTGTTTTAAATCAGATCACTATTTTATTTATTTTATTTTAAATAGAGATAGGGTTTCACTATGTTGCCCAGGTTGGTCTCGAACTTTTGAGCTCAAGCAGTCCTCTCACCTCAGCTTCCCAAAGTGCTAGAATTGAAGTCATAAGCCACCTTGCCTGGTCAAATCACATTTTAAATGTATCAGAAGACTCTAGTATTTTAAAGCACACTGCAAAAATTCAGATCTTTCAAGATTTTCTAAGTAGGCATTCTTTACGCTGGCACTCCATCATGCCAGTAGGTCCCAGACAGTTTAAAAGTAGTTTAAGTAAAGCTGTGTAAGTTATCACGAAGGTGGAGCATGTCCCAAGCCATAGGTATTATATCTTACAAGTATATGATTTTTAATTTATTTTTTGTTCTTTTCCCATACTTTTTCCTATAAAGTCATCCTCCAAATCACACAACAAAACAAGGAAGAAATAGAATATTTTCCCCCATTTTACAGAAAGGAAGCAAGACACATGGAGGCCAGGGGTTAGCTTAAAGGTAGCCAATTTCTGTGCACTAGTCAGAAGTAATCTCGAGAAAATAACAACTCAATTTACACTGCTCAGAGTCAGGACTGCTCTGTGAGTCTGTGAGAGCACAGTAAGTGGAGTAAGTAAGACTTTCATGCTAAAGACTTCATGAGGGAAAACATTTAAGCATTTTCCTAGGAAATGACCATACTTTAAATGTTATCTAACAATTCACACATTTGCCACCATCTCAACAGTATCTTTTCTTTCTTTTTTTGAGGCGGGAGTCTTACTCTGTCACCCAGGCTGGCGTGCAGTGGCTCGATCTCGCCTCACTGTCAACTTCCACCTCCCAGGCGCAAGTAATCCTCCCACCTCAGCCTCCCGAGTAGCTAGAACCACAGGTGCGCAAACACATGCCCAGCTAATCTTTTGTATTTTTGGTATAGACAGAGTTTTGCCATGTTACCCAGGAAGATCTTGAACTCCTGAGCTCAAGCGATCTACCTGCTTTGTCCTCCCAAAGTGCTGGGATTACAGGCATGAGCCACCATGCCTGGCAGTATCTTTTTTATTAATAGCAAACTTAAATTATTTCTATATGCAAGTGAAATATACAAAGTACGATTATTTTACCTTTATATGTTGATTAGAATATTCAGGAAGTTCTATTGACGTATCTGTTGAAAACTCAACAGTTGCTTTTTCTTCTTTAGATACAATATTTCCAGAACTGTCAAAAGTGGGCTGATCCTGTTTTTTTATCATCAGTGGCAGGTTCATTTCCTATACAAAATTAATTTCATGAAATTTAATACTCATATTTTATTTTATGCTAATATACATTACAAACAGGAAGTGGACGTAATATATTCAACTATACATTTAGGATTAAACTACAACTGTGCTATAAAATGTGAGCTTTTCACATAAAACACCTATGTCTCAAATTGTTAAGAATCAGTTGAAAAAATATTTTTAAAAAGTCTGCTTTTATGAGGCACTATGCTACATATAAAGATAAATAAGGCTCGGTGTATGTTCTCAATGAGCTGAAAATCTAGTAGGCAAAACAATACTTGTTTTTCCTTCATGACAGCTCTGTAGTAAAAAGGGTTCAAGAATTAAAAGCTTTCTCAGGCATATACTCAAGAAAGGTTTAAGAATTGAAAGCTCTCATGGGCATACACTCAAAGAAAACATGTGTCCACATGAATGTCCATAGCTACATTGTTCATAAAAACCCAAAAAGTGAAAAGAATCCAAATGTGCATCAACTAGAGAATGGATAAACAAAATGTGGTATATCCATACAATGATTTATTATTTGCCAATAAAAAGGAATGAAGTACGATTACATTCTATAATAGGGATGAACCTTAAAAATATTATGCCAAGTAACATAAGCCAGTCACAAGAGATCACATATTATATGATTCTATTATGTGAAATGTCCAGAATAGGCTAATCTATAGAAAGACAGTGGATTCGTGGTTGCATAGGGCTGGGGCGGGGGGCATTGGAAGAAAATAGGGAGTGACTGCTAGGGTTTCCTTATGAAGTAATAAAAATGTTCTAAATTTTTTATGGTAATGGCTACATAACTCTGTGCATATACCAGAAATCAATCAGTTATGACCTTACAATGAGTAAATTGTATGGTACACAAATCATATCTAAATAAAGCTGCAACCAATCAAAAGAACTTACAAGTTGAGTTTTTGAAACCAACTTTCTCCATCTTTTATTCAGCCTTCTCAGCTCTTTAGAAATAGACGATCCAACCACATCATTGCTGACTTTGACTAAGAAATTTCCTGCTTCATTTAAAGTAGCATGTTCTAGATTCCACTGGGCTAGTGTCTCAAAGGGTACCTACACAACACACAAGCAACATACTATCTTAATGACATAATACTCTCTTTCTATTATGTATAATAAATGTTCACCAAGGCTTTTTTTTTTTTTTTTTGAGATGGAGTCTTGCTCTGTTGCCCAGGCTGGAGTGCAGTAGCGCAATCGAGGTCATGGCAACCTCCGTACCAAGACTAATCCTAAGCAACATTCTTTGCAGAGACTTTGACTTTCCCCTTAGAGGAGTCTCCCAACCCTGTTGGTCTAGCTCTTCACTCCTAAGTGCTAACTGGCGAGTGCCAGCTGTCTGTCATCACTCCTGGTCCTGGACTTTTAAGATGCATCTGATCTCTCTTTCCACGTGGCTGATGAACTTACAGCAGAGGTTTCCAAACTTGTTTAGTGCATGGAGCCTTAATTGTCTCATTAATTTTTTCAGAGAGTCCCTAGGCCAGAAATATTATCTAACAGTTCCCATTTTCAGTAGTTAGGTTCAACAACTTAGTAGCAGCATGGTATCCAACAGATGGATGTTGTTGTGTCTCCTTCAAATTTTAGAGTGTTCTGTAAGTTCTCTTAGTTCTCTCTGTTAGCTCAGGGTTTCTTAGCAGTTTGGGTATTACAACCTTAGAGTGTTATTTTTCTCTGAGTTATGTACATTTTTATAGACAATCTTTAAAGACAGAAGGACTGTTGGAAGACAAAGATTTGAAATTCTAGTACTAATACAGGTGACAGAAGTGATGACTCAATCCCTAAAACGCTCTTCTTTGCACTCTTACAGTTATCACAAATTTTACTTTAACACAAATAATCTATTTTCTATTAATTTTAGTTTCTATTTTGGAAATGTTTAATCTGAAAGGCTATCTATAGCCATCTGCAACAGAAAAAAACAAATGAAAGAAAGAAAAGCCACTTCAAATAATCATAGAACAGATTATTACATGAATAACACATGAAAACAATAATGAATTACATTGACAGTTCTTCCACACCCCTACACATAAGTTAAGGTATCTTGATTTTCCTCCTCTAGAAACTCAGGAAGATTTTAGAGCTGAAAGGTTTCAACCAAATGGAAAAATAAAATTTTCTGAACAGTAGTTTATTTTAACTGTGACTATAAGCTACCCAGTATATTAAGTCTTATTTCCTCTCCAAAGAGCTTAGCAAAACATATCCCAAAAGCTATTACTCCATATGCAAGTTATACCTTAAGAAAGCTCTGTGTGTGGGAAGGGGGGGTGTGTATGTGTGTGCGTGACCATGTATAAAACCTATAAACCAGTGGAGAAAACTGCCTCTTGGCAATTATATTGGGAAGAAACTAAATTTTTTCCAAGACCTTGAAGAATTTTCCAAAACACTGGTGTACTCTTCTTTGTTTTCTCATCTTTGAATTGAAAATGAGGGTCACAAAACAAAACAATTAAAAAATAAAATTGAGCAGATGCTATTAGACTGCAAATACCTCTTTAATTTCTTCCTTCTTTGTCTCCTCAAAGCAAGCCCTTAGTAAGCGAAGGTTTTCCACATAAGTAGCCCAACATGCCAGCACTTTTTGTAGAGTGGACTTCACATTACATATTTTTTTTCTATACATACAAACATCAGATTTCACCATCATATACTGTTTACTAATATTCTGACATTCTCCAGCTACAATATCAACAAAACAAAAAAGCAATCTTAGAAAACAATTTTTTATTAATACTATTTTAAAATATTTGCATACTAATTGACAGTGGCAAAATAATATGTACTCTGACAATATTAAAAGTGAAAGCAAGAATTTTCCCAGGAAAACATGCACATAAAACTAATTTCTAAAACATTATATAGAAAGTACAACAGATAAAACATCATTGTTAAGTGACAGTCATTCCTCAAAAAGTAACTGAACTACTTTACCCAAATTCTTATAAATTTCTCCACATTTTTGAAAAGAAGTATCAAGTCGAGCTAGCAATTCTTCTTCTTCAACAAATTTCTGGGAAGAAAACAAAAAGACAGTTTTTACTTTTAAAATCGTGCCAAGAAATCCAGATAGAGAGATACAGCCATTCAATGAAGGACATAGTTACCAAAATTTCTTTAGGGCTTTAATACTACATATTTGGTAGGAAAAGACGAAGAAGGATGGTGAAAATCTAGGAGACATAAGCTGGGTGTGAACATTAAATAGGTCTGACATCTGATAAAATTGATCTTAATGTGGTGACATGGTGTTACAATGGTATTCCTCTTGTGGAAAAAGGCAAGTTAAGTATTTATAGTAATTTCAGGATCTCCTACTTTGCACATTTTATTAATATTACATAATTGTGTCATTTGCTCTTATTTCACATGCTTTATTAATATTGAGTACTTTTTTTAGATATATTAGAGGATGTTACAAAAAGATATCCATCACACAGAAACATTTCAGAAACTACCATTAACCAAATTCTGTTACAGAAAAATACTAAGCTAATTCAAAATTCATATTTACTTTATACTTATGTGTGCCAATAGTATGAATATTTAAATAGAAAAACGAAAATTCAACCAAGGAAAAAGAAATAGAAATACTCAAAATCTAGCCTAGTTTAGAATGATGCTTTCTGTTTGGAAACTTAGAGTGTTTAAGTCATAAATTGGAAGTAAATTTCTCTATCATTTTTTAAATTTTTACAACAAAATTTACAATCGTGGATTTTCCTTTCCCCTCTTTTTTTTTTTTTTTTTTTCTTTTTGAGACAAAGTCTCGCTCTGTCGCCCAGGCTGGAGGGCAGTGCAGTGGAACAATCTCAGCTCACTGCAACCTCTACCTCCCAGGGTTCAAGTGATTCTCCTGCCTCAGCCTCCCAAGCAGCTGGTATTACAGGTGCCTACAACCACACCTGGCTAATTTTTGTATTTTTAGTAGAGGGAGGTTTCGCCATATTGGCCAGGCTGGTCTCGAACTCCTGACCTCAGGTGATCCGCCTGCCTTGGCCTCTCAATGTGTTGGGATTACAGGTGTGCGCTACCGCGCCCAGCCCCACCTCATCTCTAAAAGGAGGGAAACAAAAAGAAGGACAAGGCCTAAATGTAGAATTGACATTTCTTTGATGCTGTAGTTTTAACTTAGATGTGAACACACTTATATTTAAGTCACTTCAAACATTTTTCCTATAAATTAGAAGAGCTAAAGACAAAAAGAAAGCCTCAAGACAAAAGAAAAAATGTACTGTTTATCCTAGCTAGTAAAATTTAGTAAGTTAAGATCAAAATGTTATAAGAAAAATGTAATTACTGCATGAAACTATGAATCTGAAAAGGAACCCAAAATTAACATTTCAAGTAAGTGAAAGAAGGAATTTTTAATGAAAAAAAAGCATGGAAACCTTTCATATTATGTTAATAGACCTGGTTAACTCTTAATCTCCCCTTGGGTAGTAAGTAGTGATATTTTCTATTTTTTTACTCTTTCCTATGCTGCTGTTTGACTCCCTGTAATTCTCCTCTCCAGGCAATATTTAAGCTAATGAAATCTACCAAGAAAACCCATCTCAAAACCCAAAGAGTTAATGGGAAATCGTGCCAAGGAAAAATGCAAACACAGCACCCAGAGACGGAGAAGAGTTGCCTAAGACACAAAATTTAAAAGCTTACATGCCAGTCTTCCAGCAATAATTCCACAGATTCTCTGCTCCCATATTTAATGTTCCAAATATCCAATTTTGATTTCACTTCATCTACCAAACCAAGAACTAAGCACGTGTAGTAATGAAATTCTAGAAGTAGAATAAATTTTTTCTCCAAAATGTTGTTGATTCTGGAAAACAGTGCAGGTTTTGGAATTTAACTTAATATTATTGACCAAATGTGAGAAATCTGTTCAGCATTTTTAAAAATACTGAGGCTTTAACTCTTTCTTTTTTTTTTTTTTTTTGGGACGGAGTCTCGCTCTGTTGCCCAGGCTGGAGTGCAGTGGCCGGATCTCAGCTCACTGCAAGCTCCGCCTCCCGGGTTTACGCCATTCTCCTGCCTCAGCCTCCCGAGTAGCTGGGACTACAGGCGCCCGCCACCTCGCCCGGCTAAGTTTTTTTTTGTATTTTTTAGTAGAGACGGGGTTTCACCGTGTCAGCCAGGATGGTCTCGATCTCCTGACCTCGTGATCCGCCCGTCTCGGCCTCCCGAACTCAGATGTATCATTGTCTTTTTCTTTTTTAAACATTGTAAAACAAATACTGTGACTAGATATAAAACAACTATTTCTAAGGTAAAAACATCAAACACAACATTTTCTGAATAAACTATTCCCCGACTGACAAATCCTATAATAAAATGTTGATCTATGAAATATTTTACTAAATCTGAAAACTTTCATATAACTTAATGAAACTATAATCTAAGTTTATACATTAAAAGTTTTCATTATAAAGGCTAATACCCTCTCACTATTCTAATAAGTTGCTTTTGAGTAATGAGAAAAGATAATCAATTAAATAATCTCAGTATTTATAGTATTTTACAATTTATAAAGTGCTTTCATATCCCTCCTCCCATTTGATCCAGTTTCCCGGTGAGACCTGAACAGGGCAATTATCATTAATCTAAATTTATGAAGGTGGAAACATGCTCACAAAGAGAGTGACTTATCCAAAACCAAGATACAGAGCTCAGTTTCTGAATGTTTTCCATCACCATATTCTAACATTCAATAAAAAAGTAGGTATGTTGCCATAATATCTGTAACGTTACCACTATATAAAATGTGAAGATACTGTTATCAAGATTTAAAGGAGAATACTTGGTAAAAATTATCTAAAAATCTGTATTCTGTGGTCTCTGTAGTACCAGTTGTTATTCAAACGTGAATAGTACTAGCAGTTGTGAAATGGTAGTGTTACACACCGTCTTTTCATTTCCTCCAATTTCTTAGGTGGTACCAATGGCAAATGATTTTCATCTCTATTTTCAAAGGTAAGGAGAATGTTCGAATGATGCGCAAATCTATCCATCAGGCTCTGAAAAGAAATTCAGCATGACATAAACCATATTTATTGTCAAACACTGTATAATTAAGGGTTTGTCAATCTCACTTGCATTACATCTTTTTTCAAAAAAAAATTCATAAAGCCCTCCCCACAACCCACTTTTTTTTATTGTTTTAAGACACAGGGTCTTGCTCTGTCACCCAGGCTGGAGTGCAGTGGCGTGATCATAGCTCACCGCAGCCTGGAATTCCTGGATTCAAGGGATCCTCTCACCTCAGCTTCTCAAGTAGCTGGGTCTACAGGCACACAGTACAATACCCAGCTAGTTTCGTTTTTTAAAAAATTTTCTATAGAGGTGGGGTCTTGCTATATTGCCTACGCTGAAACTACCCCCTTTAACTAAGATTTTGTGAACAAACATTTTCATCATAAATGTTTTAACTCTGAACATTTTACAGACAGGCAGACCATAGTTTCTTTAGTAAAACCATTATTACAATCTTTTATTTATTGGTGTATATTCCATTCCTTTGTAGGCTCAAATACCATAAATCTCACATAACTTTTTTCATGCCATTTTAGTAAGAACCCAAGTCTCTCAAATTTTAAATCAGGCTCCCCCTTCTTCACCCTCCCACCCCTTGACCTTTTTTTTGGTCAGACTTTATTTAGAGTTGCTTTAGAACTCTATCCTTATTTAGATTCTATCCTTATTGTTTCAACCTTAAACTAGTACAATGGTCATGAATGTAAAGTTATGTTCTAGGTCCCAAAAATCCCCAGAGGGATAATTGTAAACCATCCTCAAATAACCACTACTCTCCTTCTCTTCTTTTTAGGACAAAGTCTTACTCAAGAACAATCCCTAACAAAATATATATTTTTCTACATCTCTTTTTTTTCTTTTCCAACCTTGAATAAAGTCATTTTCTCTTGTATCAGAGTCACGGCTTGAGAGTGATCCTGGGAGGCTGACAAATCTTCATCCATAAGCTCTTCTACCTCCTGGAGCCAAGCTTCAGTTTGATGGAGGGGTGGGGGCAAGGCATAATTCAGCTTTATTTTCCATGCATTAATCTGAAAAAAAAAAAAAAAAAGAAGAAGAAGAAGATATTCTTCAGTAGAACTTTTCTAGTTTATTTCTTCACATACAGTATGTTTGACTCTTTGAAGTTTCTCTGGAAGCCAAGACTGATAAATGAGATCCATTATCATGGAAATCTTCATCAATGGGTAAATTTCTTAGTTTTAAATATCACTTAGCTATTTGCTGACCAGGAATATAATTTGTTCAAAAGTTGTAGGAAAAGAAGGCATAAGAAAAAACAAACGTTTTGATAAATCCACAATAAGATATGCGGGAAATTCAAAAGATTAAAAGCACACCTCTAAGCAAGGGTAGACTATCCTACTGAATGACCATCATTTGAAATGCTGTGTGTCCTTGTGTGCTCTGACACTACAACTACACCTTTGATACAGATTTATAACTTCTCCCCAATCTAGCCATAACTGTATATCCACGTGACATATCTCTACCATATCTCCCGAATATCTGTCCTTCACGAAAAGCACCACCCATCCCCAAATCCAGGTACATCTCCTCCTTCCTCAGCCTCCCACCACTCCCTGCATGCACAAGCAGGTGAGAAACACACACTCTGACTGCTTGCTTCTCCAAATACTTGCTGTGTCTTCGCTCTCGCTGCCCCTGCTACCGGGATGTCCCCTCGGCAAGCACTGTCAAAACTCACTCGCACAGTCGTTCATTCACTCACTGGCCAAACATTTATGAACAAGCTATTGTGCTAAGAGCTGGAGATAAAGATACAGAAAGCTTCTGGCGTGGACAAAGGACCATGTGATGGTTACCCATCATTTAATGCTATGCAGCAGTTAGGAGAAAATTAGATGCACAAATGCCAACATGGAAGCACCTTAAAATACACTATGTTCAAAAATAAAAAGAAACAACATATAACGTCAAGGGTGCACAACTTAAAAATACATGTACAGGTCGGGTGCAGTAGCTCACACCGATAAACCCAGCACTTCAAGAGGCCAAGGCAGGAGGATCGGTTGAGCACAGGAGTTCAAGACCAGCTTGGGCAACATGGTAAAAACCCCATCTCTACTAAAAATACAAAAATTAGCCAGGAGTGGTGGTGCACACCTGTAGTGTGACCTATAGTCTCAGCTACTCAAGAGATTGAGGTGGGAGGATCACTGGAGCCGAGGATGTCAAGGCTACAGTGAGCCATGATCATGCCACTGCACTCCAGCCTGGATGACAGAGTAAGACCCTGTCTCAAAAACAAAACAAAACAAAAATATACATAAATTCAATCTATATTATGCAAAAACATAAAACACATTAAAGATATCAAAATTGTGGCTCAAGGAGAAAGGAGAATGGAAAGAAGGTATGAGTATAAAAGGAAATCAACACACAATTAAGCAAATGAACAAAAACAAGAGTAGGGCCCTGCCTAGCTCCATGTGTCATGTATGAATGGAAGAGCAATTTAATACAACCCCCTATGTCAGAGTGTAAACCAGATAAATGAAAGCCACAGCTCTTGCCTGAACTACCTATCCAAAGAAGCAGCCAAGAACATGGTTACAGGAAAGTGTGATAAGTGATGTCACAGAGCCAGGCAGGCGAAGGTTGCAGTGAGCCAAGATAGCACCACTGCACTCCAGCCTAGGCGACAGAGTGAGACTCTGTCTCAAGAGACAAATAAATATATATATATATATATATATATAGACATGGTGGATCATGTCTGTAGTCCTAGCCACCTGGGAGGCTGAAGTAGGAGAATCGCTTGAACCCAGGAGGTAGAGGCTGCAGTGAGCCGAGATCACACCAGTGCACTCAAGCCTGGGCAACAGAGCGAGACTCCATCTCAAAAAAAAGAATGTTGACTTTTTACACAAACTTACTGCTATACAGTTTGAATGTTTATCTCCTCTGAATCTCATGTTTAAGTTTGATACCCAATATTGGGGCTGGGCCTAACAGGAGCTGAGTTCCCACGAGTGCTGGTTGTTGAAAAGAGTCTGGCACCTCCTCTCTCTCTCTGCCTCTCTCGCTCTCGCTTCATCTCTTGCCATGTGATTTCTATACACAAGCTCCCCTTTGCCTTCCACTATGAATGGAAGTAGCCTGAGGCCCTCACCAGAAGCAGATGCTGGTGCCACGCTTCTTGTACAGAAGCAGAAACGTGAGCCAAATAAGCCTCTTTTAATTTATTTGATACTCCTACGAAGATCAATCACAAATTAAAATTTGTTTCACTCAGCTTTCTCTAATAAAAAGTACTGGTCTTAAGTCTGTATTTTATCTTTCTGTTACCCAGTCTAATTCTACTAAATGCACTGTTTTTATTCTTTTAGGGTTTTTATTATTATTATTTTATTGTAGAGACAAGGTCTCACTATGTTCCCCAGGCTGGTCTTGAACTCCTGGCCTCAAACAATCCTCCTGCCTTGGCCTCCCAAACTGCTGGGATTGCAGGCATGACCCACCAAGCCTAGTTGAGTTATACTGTTTTTTAAACAGGCAAAAATTTGTATATCAGATAGATCACTTCAACATTAATTCATTCAAAAACATTTATGGGGTACCCATCACATGCAAAAGCAAACATCTAAAAGATATTTAACCAAGTACCCAGGTATACAAAATGAGGAAAAAGCTAGGTTCCTTTAAGGCAGTCAAATGAAACTGTTCATAAAATGAAAGCATTAGATATTACAGCTTTTCCATTTTGTTTTGCTTTTTTTTTTGTCTTGCAAGTTTAATTTTCTCAAAAGATATACGGCAAAGATAATTCTATAACTTTTTTTTTTTTTGAGATGGAGTCTCAGTCTGTTACCCAGACTGGAGTGCAGTGGTGCAATCTTGGCTCACTGCAACCTCCACCTCCCAGGTTCAAGCAATTCTCCTGCCTCAGTCTCTCAAGTAGCTAGGATTACAGGCACACACCACCACACCTGGCTAATTTTTGTGTTTTTAGTAGAGACGAGGTTTCACCACGTTGACCAGCCTGGTCTCAAACTCCTGACCTCAGGTGATCTGCCCACCTCGGCCTTCCAAAGTGCTGGGATTATAGGCGTAAGCCACTGCACTTGGCCAATTCTACAATCTTAAATCATTAACTCTTTGCCATTATGTCTCTAGATGAAAGAAAAATGAAAAAAAGTTATTTCATTATTGTAATTTTTTTTTCTTTTTGTTTTGAGACGGAGTCTCACTCTGTCTCCCAGGCTGGATATACATCTCGGCTCACTGAAACCTCTGCCTCCCAGGTTCAAGCAATTCTCCTGCCTCAGCCTCCTGAGTAGCTGGGATTACAGATATGTGCCACCATGCCTGGCTAATTTTTGTATTTTTAGTAGAGACAGGGTTTTGCCATGTTGGCCAGGGCTGGTCCTGAACTTCTGACATCAAGTGATCTGCCCGCCTCAGCCTCCCAAAGTGCTGGGATTACAGGTGTGAGCCACCGCGCCCAGTCATTTCAAATAAACAAGTTAGCATATACTTTTAGTGTGTCTAACTACTTGTACATCTGCCAAAAAAACCCAGAAATTTGAAATATAATTGAGTTAAAGAGAAGCTAAGAGCAATACCTCTAGTTCAACTATTATTCTTTGCAACCAAAAGACAGCTGCATATATTTTGAATTAAACCAAACCTGTTTTTTTCGACTCAGGGCTACACTCAATATTTATACAGCAGGCAGAAGAGGAAGAACAGAAGGCAATGTTTACCTTTCGTTCCTCTCCTTTCTCACTTAACACTTCCTTTCTGCAGTAATTACTTTTCAATTTGGCTGAAAATTTACATAAGATCTTAACAGGTCAAAATAACATAATGTTGCTATTTTCTACAGTAGGCTCAATATGAAACCATTTACTATGATGCTCTGAGAAATCTGTTCTGAAACTATTGAACCAGAAACTGCATACATGGTTTCAACTTTTATGTCCTCAATGGCTTTAATTTTAGCAATGTCTCATTTTGCCACACCAACAAACTGAGCTGCAGTTTACCTGACTGAGGAATGGATTTTCAAGCTATTACCAATTTACAGCACTTAATCCTGCAAAATAGTTCTTTTTATGTTTTTTCTCATTATTTGGGCAATGTTTCCATATTTAACAAAATCAGGCCAGGTGTCTGTAGCCTGGAACAGCCTGAACTGTACAGACAGTATCTTCTTCATTGCCTTCCACTTTGTTGAGGACTTGTCACGGACAGGTCTTATCCTTCACAAAAGTCCATTTCAAAGCAGTGATGAGAATAGAAACTGACAATGCAATAAGCACCACCACTGATGAGAAGATTGTAGGAGCTGCAAGTTCTTCAAAATTAGGTTGTCTAAAAGAGTGGCTCTTTTAAGCCACTAGACTGCTATTTAATACTTAGTAAACGGTGTGGAAAATGTATTCTGAAAACAGGCTGCCACTCCTGACAGCCAAGCAAAGGGTCAGCAAACTTTCCCTGTGAAGAGCCAGAGTATCTTTGACTTTGTGGACCACACAGTTCCTGTCATAACTCTGTAAATGTATTAAAAATCATTTCGTTATCCATTTATAAATGAGATGTTACATAAATTATACCTCAATAAAGTTATTTTTTTAATGAAGGCAAAACAAAGACATATTTAGAGATCAAAGAAAACTAGGTGAATTTGTCACTCACAGCCCTGTATTGTAAAATATGTGAAAGGAAGTTTTCAGGCTGAAGGGAACTGAGCTCAATGGAAACTCAAATCTCTAGAAAGAAATTAAGAACATGGGAAATACCTAGATAAACATAAAAGATTAATTTTTTCATTTAATTTCCTTAAAATATATGGTTGTTTAGAGGAAAAAAAAATTATAACATGGCCCTGGGGATTTTAAGACATATGTTATATGTGTCACGTATATTTATATATAAAACAACTATAGCATAAATAATGGGAGATGAATCAATTTGACTGCAGGATTTCTACATGTTACAAAAAGTTGTAAAATAACCTAGATATTGTACAACTCTAAGGCTGGGTGTGGTGGTTCACACCTATAATCCCAGCACTTTGGTAGGCCAAGGTAAGTGGATCCCTTGAGCCCAGGAGTTCAAGACCAGTCTGGGCAACATAGTGAAACTCCTTCTCTGCAGAAAAATACAAAAGAAATTAAGCATGCATGGTGATGCATGCCTGTAGTCCTAGCTACTCAGAAAGCTGAGGTGGGAGGATTGACTGAGCCTGGGAAGCAGAGGTTGCAGTTACCTGTGATCAAGCCACTGCACTCCAGCCTGGGCAACAAAGCAAGACTCTGTCTCAAAACAACAACAACAACAACAAAAAATTGCAAAACTCTAAGTAGACTGTAAAAATTTTGTAATGCATATTATAATCCCTAGAGCAACCACTAAAAACATGATAGGAAGAAGCAGAGTCAAGTCAACAGACAAATTAAAATGGAATTCTTAAAAAACGCATGATCCAAAACCAGGCAACAAAGGAAGAAACGGAGGCCGGGCACAGTGGCTCACATCTGTAATCCCAGCACTTTGGGAGGTCAAGGCAGGCAGATCACTTGAGGTCAGGAGTTCGAGACCAGACTGGCCAACATGGTGAAACCCCATCTCTACTAAAAACACAAAAACTAGCCAGTCATGGTGGTGGGCATCTATAATCCCAGCTACTCAGGAGGCCGAGGCAGGAGAATCGCTTGAACCCAGAGGCAGAGGTTAGTGAGCCACGATCATGCTCACTAACCTCTCCCACACTCCAGCCCGGGAGACACGGAGAGACTCTGTCTCAAAAAAAAAAAAAAAAAAACAAAAAAAAGAAAGGAAGAAACAGAGATAGAAAAAACAGAGAGAATAAACAAAACAAAGAGTTAAATGATATACCTAAACTGAACTATATCAACAATTATATTAAGTGGACTAAGCACTACAATTAAAAGAGAAGGGATAGGCTAGGCACGGTGGTTCATGCCTGTAATCCCAACACTTTGGGAGGCCAAAAGTTCTAATTCAGGAGCATTGCTTGAGGTCAGGAGTTCATGACCAGTATGGGCAACATGGCAAAACTCCATCTCTACAAAAAATTTAAAATTTTGCCAGGCATGATGGCACACACCAGTAGTCCCAGCTACTTGTGAGACTGAGGCAGGCAGATGGCTTGAGCGTTGGAGGCTGAGGCTGCAGTAAGCCATGATTGTGCTGGTGCATTCTAGCCTGGACAACAGAGTGAGACTCGATCTCAAAAAAAAAGACAGGGACTAGCACAGTAGGTAAGAAAGCAAGATACAACTGTGTGTCATTTATAAGAGATACACTTTGAATATAAAGACTCCAAATAGATGAAAAGTAAATGAAGGAAAAAGATGTACTATACAGTCAGCACAGAAGACTGGAATGACTATACTGGTATAAGATTAAGTATAATATTAATAGATGTGAAGAAAAACAGTATTATTAAAGATAAGCAGGAATATTTCATAATGGTAGAAGTCCTCAGGAAGACAAAGTAATCATAAGCATGTACACACAATGACAATGTTTTAAAATACATGAAGCAAAATTGGACAGCACTGAAGACAGATTCCCACAGATTTTAATAACTCCTCTCTCAGCAGTATATAATAGAATTGGACAAAACATCCGTCAAGACACAGATAATCTGAACAAAATTATCAACCACCTTATATTAATTAATATTTGTAATTTGGAAGCAACATAAGTGCCCATCAACAGATGAATGGATAAAGAAAATGTGGTACATATACACAATGGAGTACTATTCAGCCAAAAAAAATGAGGGCCGGGCGCAGTGGCTCACGCCTGTAATCTCAGCACTTTGGGAGGCAAAGGAGGGCGGATCACGAGGTCAGGAGATTGAGACCATCACGGTTAACACAGTGAAACTCTGTCTCTACTAAAAATACAAAAAATTAGCCGGGAGTGGTGGCAGGTGCCTGTAGTCCCAGCTACTCAGGAGGCTGAGGCAGAGAATCACTTGAATCTGGGAGGCGAGACTTGCAGTGAGCCGAGATTGTGCCCCTGCACTCCAGCATGGCGACACAGCGAGACTCTGTCTCAAAAACAAACAAACAAAAAAATTAGCCGGGCATGGCAGCATGCACCTGTAATCCCAGCTACTCTGGGGCTGAGGCAGGAGAATCTCTTGAACTCGGGAGGCAGAGTTTGCAGTAAGCCGAGATCACACCATTGCACTCTAGCCTGGGTGACAGAGCAAGACTCCATCTCAAAAAAAAAAAAAAAGAATGAGATTCTGTCATTTGCAACAATGTGGATGGAAATGGAAGTCATTATGTTAAGTGAAATAAGCTAGGCACAGAAAGACAAATATCACATGTTCTTACTTATTTGTGGGATCTAAAAATCAACACAGTTTAACTCATGGAGATAGAGAGTAGAAAGATGATTACCAGAGGCTGGGAAGGGTGGCTAGGGAGTAGAGGGAAATGGAGATGGTTAATGGGTACAAAAAAATAGAAAGAACAAATAAGACCTACTATTTGACAGCGCAACAGGGTGACTATAGACAATAATAACTTAATTGTACATTTTAAAATAACTTGAAGAGTGTAACTGGATTGTTTGTACCTCAAAGGATAAATGCTTGAGGGAATGAAGATCCCATTCTCCAAGATGTGCTTATTTCACATCGCATGCCTGTATCAAAATATCTCATGTACCCCAAAAATATATGCACCTACTATGTACCAGTAAAAATTAAAAATTAAATTGAATTTTTAAAAAATTTAACATTTATAGAATATTATACCCAATGACTGCAGAATATGTGTTCTTTTCAAGTGCACAAAGTTATGTACCATATGCTGGGCCATAAACTACGTCTCAATAAATTGAAATGGATTGAAATTATACAGATATATTCAGACACACATGCACAAATTCATCCTTACACACTCTCTGTGGATTTGTTCCTACTTCTTTCAAGCATCTACTGATATTGATACATGATAGTAGAGAAGAAGCCACACGTCAATCAAAATATAGATAATCTACTGTAGCAAACCAAGAATTGATAGCAAATATATCAAGCTTGGATAAGCTTGCATTTTCTCTAAGCAGAACACAAAAAATCCCTACTTAAAAGATGATCACTACCCAAACGATGCCATGGAGAAAATATAAAAACACTATCCCATTTTCTGATGAAGCATCTACACTGTCTTTTACAGAATTTCTCACGGAAGTTTAAAGTAAAACCCTCATCCAAAAAAACAAAGCTGCCCTTTGAAAATGCTTTTTTTTTTTTTTTTTTTTCATCCAAAAAAACAAAGCTGCCCTTTGAAAATGCTTTTTTTTTTTTTTTTTTTGAGACAGAGTCTCATTCTGTCACCCAGACTGGAGTGCAGTGGTGCGATCCCAGTTCACTGCAACCTCCACCTCCCGGGTTCAAGCGATTTTATGCCTCAGCCTCCCAAGTATCTGGATTACAGGTGCCCACCAACACACCCTGCTAATTTCTGTAATTTTAGTAGAGGCAGGGTTTTGCCACGTTGGCCAGGCTGGTATCAAACTCCTGACTGCAAGTGATCCACCCACCCTCGGTCTCCCAAAGTTCTGGGATTACAGGTGTTAGCCACTGATTCTGGCCTGAAAATGTTCTTCTAATCAACATAAACAGTCACCTGGTGATCGAGGCCCTCCCAGGCTTCTCTCAACTGTAAATGATCCTTGTCCAGCTCATCCGGATCCCATTTTATTGACAGGACATCCAAAAAGGACTTTTTTTCTTCATTGAATGACTCCATAAAGGACAGCAGGCTCTACAATTAGAAGAGTATTTTAAAGACTGAAAATGTTTAATTCCATTTATATCATATAATCTGTTATTTTGAGGTCTATAGGTATAGGATATATTTAAGTTTTTACTTAAAGGTAAAATCCCCTGAATCCAGTATCCCCTCTCTGCTCTGATTTCCTTCTTCAGTGCACTGTGATAACTGGACACCAGCATAATGTCATACACCTCACTCTGTGCTTTGTGTCGGTATTGTTGGATTTCTACTGGAATGGAGCAGCAAGGTCACTGGGTTACAGGACAGATCATGATGCCACATGGAAAATATGAGTTTGTTTGTTCTCCCCAAGTATGCGCTCACAACAAAATAAGAATGAATGAATGTGAAAATTATATGATAGCAGTAGTCATATTATAAGCAATTTTCAAAGTGTTCATGAATAACTGGGCTTCAGCTTCTTCTTCTCAATTCATTTTATATAAACTTTGAAAAACACTTTGCCTTCAAATATTTAATAAGTAAAGCTTTTTCTTGGTTCACATTTGTGTGAAATACGAGTATTTAAGAGTTACCAGGCCAGGTGCGGTGGCTCACGCCTGTAATCCCAGCACTTTGGGAGGCCGAGGTGGGTGGATCACAAGGTCAAGAGATTGAGACCATCCTGGCCAACATAGTGAAAAACCATCTCTACTAAAAATACAAAAATTAGCTGGGCGTGGTGGCGCACACCTATAGTCCCAGCTACTCAAGAGGCTGAAGTGGGAGGATGGCTTCAGCCCAGGAGGCAGAGGTTGCAGTGAGCCGAGATCGCACCACTGCACTCCACTGTCTCAAAAAAAAAAAAAAAAAAAAGAGTTATCAATTGGCCAGGCACTGTGGCTCACGACTGTAATCCTAGCAATTTGGGAGGCTGAGGCAGGTGCACCATTTGAGCCCAGGAGTTCAAAACTAGCCTGGGCAACATGGCAAAACTCCGTATCGACCAAAAATACAAAAAATTAGCTAGGCATGGTGGCACACACCTATAGTCCCAGCTACTCAAGAGGCTGAAGTGGGAGGATGGCTTCAGCCCAGGAGGCAGAGGTTGCAGTGATTGGGCCACTGCATCACAGCCTGGGAGACAGACAGATATCCTGTCTCAGGAAAAAAAAAAAAAAAAAAGAGTTATCAATTACATGGGTTTTTTTTTTTTCTTTTTTTGGAGACAGGATCTGGCTCTATTGCCCAGGTTGACGTTCAGTGGCATGATGTTGGCTCACGGCAACCTCTGCCTCCTGGGCTCAAGTGATCCTCCCACCTCAGTCTCCCGAGCAGCTGGCACTACAGGGGTGCACCACCACGTCCGGCTAATTTTTTTTTTTTCTGGTATTTTTTGTAGAGACAGGGTTTCACTATGTTGTCCAGGCTGGTTTTGAACTCCGGGGCTCAAGTGATCCACCTGCCTCACCTCCCAAAGTGCTGAGATGACAGACATGAGCCACTGCAACTGGCCATAGTTAACTACTCAGCTCCGGGGTTGTAGTGTGAAAGTAGCTACTGACAATATATAAATAGGTGTGGCTCTGTTCCAGTAACATTTTATTCACAAAATGGGCCAACCTCTGCTCTAGAACCATACTGTTCAAATGCTGTTCCAAGGATCAGCATTAATGTTTCAAATGTCATTTAAAACATTATCCAGAATTATTGACAGCATTTTAAATGAAATGTTATGAAAAAGTCAAAGGATAATTTACTTGAATTCTGATAATTAATGACTTCATAAAACCTTCTATTTAGGAAACCTGAATCTGTGATACATTATTAAATCAAAGACATATGTGAGAACAATGCACTTTCAGTAAAAGATGAGCACTTTGTCGAGAAAAAAATCTTAGACCAGAGCTAAGGGAAGAAGGTCAAGAAGCCTGTGCAGTTCAGACCAAAGGAAGAAAAAGATGTTTGATCCCTTCCTTCCCTGATGCTTCCAAAGCAAAAAGGAAAGTATGGCCAGCAAGTTGCACAACCCACTGAATGTTACAGTTGAAAGGCTGGACTTATCCAACTCTTTGACTTAACAGACATGGAGGCCTAGAGGTGCTAAGTGCTATGTAGGTACCTGACAGTATCTGCAGCTTGTTCAGGACAGAGCACTGGGGAGAAGCACAGCACTGCATAGACAATGGGCTCTAAGAAACAGGACTGAGGAACCTTTGCTTTGTTTCCTGTTAAGTCTCTTTCAAGGCTGTACAGTGAATAACTACTTACCCCAGAGAAGCATCACAATGCAAAAACAGCTAGGACTTTAAAGCTAGACTTCCATTCAAGTCCCATCTCTACCCTTTTAGTAGCCATGTAATCTTAAATAAGCCACTTATTATCTTCATCTGTAAAACTGGAATAATACCAAGCTCAGCAAGATATTTTAACATGTGAAATGCAAATCAGCAAGGTATCTGCTACGTAGAAAATGTTCAACATGGCCAGGTGTGGTGCCTCACGCCTGTAATGCCAGCACTTTAGGAGGCTGAGGCAGGTGGATCACTTGAGGTCAGGAGTTCGAGACCAGCCTGGCCAACATGGTGAAAACCCGTCTCTACTAAAAATACAAAAATTAGCTGGGCCTGGTGGCAGGTGCCTGTAATTCCAGCTACTCCAGAGACTGAAGCATGAGAATCGCTTGAACCCAGGAGGCAGAGATTGTAGTGAGCCAAGATCGCGCCACTGTACTTGAGCCTGGGCCACAGCGCAAGATTCTGCCTCAAAAAAAAAAAAAAAAGGAAATGCTCAATATGTGGTAATAATCACAGCTGTCATTATTTCTCAAAGGACTCTCAGTTCAGGCTCTCTATTCATTCTAAAAAGCATGTTCTGGGGCTGGGTGCTGTGGCTCACGCCTATAATCCCAGCACTTTGGGACACCAAGGCAGGTGGATCACCTGAGGTCAGGAGTTCAAGACTAGCCTGACCAACATGGAGAAACCCCGTCTCTACTAAAAATACAAAATTAGCTGGGCGTGGTGGTGCATGCCTGTAACCCCAGCTACTTGGGAGACTGAAGCAGGAGAATTGCTTGAACCCAGGAGGCAGAGGTTGTGGTGAGCCGAGATCACGCCACTGCATTCCAGCCTCGGCAACAAGAGCGAAACTCTGTCTCAAAAAATAAAAATAAAAATAAAAATAAAATAAAAAGCATGTTCTGCTTTAAACCAGGGACTGGAAAACTTTTACTGTAAGGGGCAAGACAGTAAATATCTCAGGCTTTAAGAGCCATATGGTCTCTATCACGACTACTCAACTCTGGGGTTATAGTGTGAAAGTAGTGACTGGCAATGCTTAAATGGTGTAGCTCTGTTCCAACAACATTTTATTTACAAAATGGGCCAACCCCTGCTCCAGAACCATGCTGCTCAAAGTACTCCAAAAACGAGCAGAATCAACATCATCTGAGACCTTGTTAGAAATGCAAAAACTCAGGCCCTGCCCCCGGAATTACTGAACCAGAATGTGCATTTTAACAGGACTACCCCAGTGAATCACATGCACCTTAGTTTCTGAAGTACAGTGCTACAATTCAGCCTTAAAACCTTCAGTGAATTTAATATTTAAAATACTTAACCCTGAAAGAGTTTTCTAAAAACACACTTACTGCTCATCCCTTAAAAAGTAAATTACAAACAGCTGTTTAAAATCATACTTACATTATACTTTTTAAAGTAGGTATCATTTTCTGGATCCTTTAGCAACTTCTGTAGTTTTTCCTTTTGCAGAGTTAACCAGACCAGAGCATCTTTCACCTTTCCCTGTATTTTACACACACACAATTAAACTATATTTTAAACAGACTTGGTTTTTTAACAAAAAAAATTAACAACTTGAAACAGCAGTGAAATAATGCCATCATTACACACCAATGATTCATTATGCCAAAGAGTAATATCACTTGTTCACATAACACCTTAAATTTTAAACCAGATTGGAACTAGCATCTGAACATGACAATGTGCTAAAGAAATGGGCAAGCAATGCACCCCCTCCCCCATTTTGGCTTGGAGAACATTATTCTAAATCATTTCTTTATAGCAGGCATTTCAGAAGACTGCCTTCCAATAAATCGAAATATGGGGTAATTCAAGAGATGTTCACACCCTGCAGAAACACTGACATCAAAAATAACTCAAACACTTTCGAGAGCCTAAAAATAACAGTACCAAAGGTTTTTAGCTATGGTATCATCAAGATATGAACAACAATTACTTTTTCCGTAGATTCTTGCTTAGGTGGTAAACTTGCTTACATTTGGAAGCCAATTTTACCGCTATAGGACAAAGAAGTTATATCTTATTTCCACCCTTCTTTAACCTTCATTTACTTTGTGTTTTCCTATTAAGCAAAAGTTTTCTAATATTTTTGCACTCAATTTCATGGACAGTTGAATCTTGCATTTTATTTTTTTAATATGAAAATTAATTAGAAAAGAATAGCTCCTCAGCAGGCCAGAAATAAGTGAACTGAATTATAAGCCTGCATCTCAGCTTGAGACTCTCTTCCAGAGTCAGCAGCAATCTGGCTTATTGCCTCAAACTTAACAGCTGGAAAAACATAGGCCCAATTTGTCAAATAAAATGCATGTAAACATGTCTGAAAATGCATGCAAACATGTGGTTTAAAATACTTTTTTAAGTAATATTCTCAAACATTTTACTAAATTCACAGCACTCATTTATCATCTTAGAAGCAGAATAAGCGTTTCTTTTCAGCTCAGCAATTTTTATGAAGTTTCCACCCACACTATTTTGTGTACTCACTGAAAGTAAAGGAGAAAAACTGAATAATCAAATGGCAATCTAATAGTTATGCAAGGCTGGGCGCAGTGGCTCACACCTACAATCCCAAGCACTTTGGGAGGCCAAGGCAGGTAGATCACTTTAGGCCAAGAGTTTGAGACCAGCCTGGCCAACATGGTGAAATCCTGTCTCCATTAAAAATACAAAAATTAGCCAGGCAGGATGGTCCACGCCTGTAATCCCAGCTATCGGGAGTCTGAGGCACGAGAATCATTTGAGCCTGGCAGGCAGAGGTTGCAGTGAGCCAAGATCACGCCACTGTACTCTAGCCTGGATAACAGAGTGAGACTCTATCTAAACAAACAAACAAACAAACAAACAATAGTAATTCAGGAGTATATCAACAAATAGGGATTAACAATAGAATACAACACTTCCATTTATATGAATCACACAATTTCATTTATATGAAGCTAAAGAATAGACAAACTGGAAATGTGCTAAAATTAGATGATGGTGAAGGTTGCCCAATCATGTAAATACACCAACAACCATTGAAACAAACGTATTAAATAGATGAATTTTATGGTATATAAATTATATCTCAATAAAGGTAATAAATATTATAATACATAAAAATTTGATAGGCCAGGCACAGTGGCTCACTCCTATAATCCCAGCACTCTGGGAGGCCAAGATGGGTGGATCACTTGAAGTTAGGAGTTCAAGACCAGCCTGGTCAACATGGTGAAACCCGTCTCTACCAAATATACAAAAATCAGCTGAGTATGGTGGCACGTGCCTATAATTTCAGCTACTTGGGAGGCTGAGGTATGATAATCACTTGAATGGGAAGACAGATGTTACTGTAAGCCAAGATCATGCCACTGCACTCCAACCTGGGCGACAGAGTGAGACTCTGTCTCAAAAAAAATAAATAAATAAAAAATAAAAAAATAGAATATTATAATAAACAAAAATTTTATATCTTTAGATTTTTAAAAGTTTAACTTCATTTGTCTTATATAGTGCCTATCGGAAAGTTGTTTCAGATAATTCAGTAAAGTTTAATAAATTATCTCTTTGAACCTAAAAAAAAAAAAAAAAAAAAAAGAACATTCAACACTAACCTACAGTAACAGAAATTAGAATGCTGGTTGCCTGGGGTAGGAAGTAGAGACAGAAAAGGTGCCCAATGGAATATTCTGGGTACCAGATATGTTTTATATCATGATTGAAGTATGATTTACAGGGGTGTATGCTCATTCAACTGTACATTTAAGTTCTGTATGCAAATTATATTTTGCTTTTAAAAATTAAACCATTAGCAGGATACAACTAAAATGAGCTTGACTTATGCATATGAAAACATACCCGAGCCTCCTCTCCAGTCCCAGGTGCATCTTTGGAATACTGCAGAAACTGTGCCACATAGGTCATGATGGACTTTTCATCAGGATCAACAACGTCCACATCTGCAAGATACACCACACTATCGATTAGCTGTTATACATTTGCTATAATGAATATTCAAGAATGGGCTATGCCATAGCCTCTGCCATTTAGTTCACAGGCTCTGGAAATGCACCAAAGTAGTCACCCAGCCATCCAATCTCTGTTTACTCAGCCTTGCTGCAAGACTGTGCAGTGGCTAAGAGCTTAGATCTATACACAGAGATAGCTGGGGGGTTAAATCCTGACACTAGTATGTGCACAGTCTCAGTTTTCTAATAATAAAGTCTCACTATGGGGGTATGTCTGAGGGCATAAGTAGTCAGAGAGGATGAAGAGGAGAAAATAAAGCATTCCTCTTTCTAGACACATGGTGCAGAAATTCCTCCAGGAATGCAGGAACATACAGCAATTAGAATGCATTCCTGACACCTTGGTCTTGGCATGTGTGCAGTAAAGCATCTCCAAAAGCATATATTGTATGGAAAGCTTATCTAAGACATTCACAGAGTTTGTTCATTCATTCATAGAACAAGTAAATCTACTGAGAGCCTTCTACGGGCCAGGCTTTGTGTTGCATTAAGAGTCCATCGTGAAATAAGTCTGTAAAATGCTGAATTAAACAAAATTTTAAAGACTACAAACTCCTATTTATCTTATTTTTTATTTATTTTAGACACGGTCTCTCTATGTTGTCCAGGCTGGTCTCAAACTCCTGGCCTCAAGCAGTCTTCCGACCTCAGCCTCACAAGTAGCTAGCATAAGACACTGTGCCAGGCATATAAATTCTGTAAAGTACAGAACTTCTCCAGGCATCTAATAAGTGAAAGAGATCATAAAATTACAAAAAGCGGGATGCAATATGTCACAGACAAAATGAACACCTAATTTGGAGGTGCTCCTTGACCTAAACAAGCAATAAAGATTATTTAAAAAAAAAAAACTTCAGTTTATTTATTAAGTTAAACTTAAAGCAACAAATATTTACAGAGAGCCAATAACTGTGGGTCACAGGCAGGGGCTACAAGGATATGTAAGGCATGGTCCCTGCCTTTGGAGATCTTATGCTTCAACCCTCTATTCATTCAACTAGTAGATGCTAGATGCCTTAAAACATTATCTGTCCCTCAAGGAGTTTAAGGTTAGGAGAAAAACAAGTAACAAACAAATACAACACACCATGCATGCTTTAGTGAACATATTTACTAGGTTCAATGAGTGCTCTAAGTCACCTGAAGTAGAAAATAAATCAATCCATTTGCAAACAATGTAATTCAAGGCAGTAAGCATATAAAATTAGCAATAAAAAGCTGAGGGTAGGGTTTCAATATAGGAAGAATTTTTAAGAATTAAGTTATTCTATCTTTAACTGAAAAAGATATAAACATCAAGAGATACATAAAATAATGATACTGGCTTATTTAGATATCGCTTTACAAAAACTTCTCATTATATATGAAGCCACGCGTGAAGATTAAATGTGTTAACAATATTATGTCAAAATAGTTCCCTTATTCAAATATGACTAAGGTATTTGGTTTGGATAAATAATCATGATGCATTTCATATTTTTGAGCTATTATTTAAGCCATTTATAATGAATTATGAGCAATTATGCAGAGGAAATTTGTTTTTACTATAGTGTCTATTTCGTTAGTTGCCTGGTTATTCACATATACAAAAATGGAGAAAATATTTTATACTAATAATAAAGATTTGGAGAATCACAATATAAGAAAAGTATTTAAAACAGACAGTCATCAGAAACAGGACAAAAGCATAAGAAAAAATAAAGGAAAAACAAAAGACAATGAAAAGCCAAAAAGAAAAGACAAAAGACAAGGAAAGGGAGAAAAGAAGGTAAAAAAGGAAGGGGGGAAAAAAGATAGGGGTAAAAAGTTAACAAGAATTAGTAACAACCAACATGAAGGCAGACCAATGTCCAAACTATAGAAATACAGCTGTAGGCAGACCAAGCATGGTGGCTTAAGCCTGTAATCCTAGCACTTTGTGAGGCCGAGGCGGCAAATCACCTGAGGTCAGGAGTACTAGACCATCCTGGCCAACAGGGCAAAACCCTCTCTCTACTAAAAATGCGAAAATTAGCCAGGCATGGTGGCACATGTCTATAATCCCAGCTACTTGGGAGCCTGAGGCAGAAGAATTGCTTGAACCCAGGAGGCGAAGGTTGCAGTGAGCCAAGATTGAGCCACTGCACTCCAGCCTGGGAGACAGAGCAAGATACTCCAATCTCTAAATAAATAAATAAATAAATAAATAAATAAGGCTGTAAGCTCACATACAAGTTCTAAGTTCAAATTAGGCTGTGAGCTTATAAATATCACCTAAATTCAACTCTTACCAAAACCTGAAGTCCACAGAGGCTAAATACCGGTAGCAAAGAGCACAGGTAGCAGCCAGATCTTGGTTTCTAATACCATTCTCCAATAAAAAGAGCCAGGGCTCCTTGGAGAAATGACGATCCTAAGACTGGGGCAGGAAATACACAAGATGAGCCTGCAGCATCTTGTCAGGCCAGAAAGTAAGAAAATGCTCAAAAACAAACAAGCAAACCCCATACTGATGGGGACATATCAAAGGAGCACAGGAGCCAACTAAAGAGCTCCTACTGGCCAAAACTTTGAGTGTAAAGAGACTTTTAAAAAAATTGACCCTTAAAATAAACATAGTAGTACAATAAGCCCATACTGATATAAATAAATGACTGAATAAATAAGTAAATGGGGGAGAATAGACAAATTTCTGGGCAGAAGAACTTCAAATAATTTACATAGATAATCTGCCATCAAGGAGAGTGAGTGTAACTCTCCCAAGTGTGGGCTATGCAGTGATTTCCCTCCAAAGAGCACAGTATGGAAAGAAGTGGGAGAAAAGAGTAACTTCACCATGAGAACTCTGATCAGCACTAGCTCGGCCAGATGAGGCAGTAACTGGGATTATAGGCGCACCACCACGCCCAGCTAATTTTGTATTTTTAGTAGAGACGGGGTTTCACCATGCTGGCCAGGCTAGGTCTTGAACTCCTTACCTCGTGTCTGCCCACCTCGGTCTCCCAAAGTGCTGGGATTACAGGCATGAGACACAGCGCCCTGCTGAAAGTTTATTTAAAAATACAAAAAGAGGCCAGGCGTGGTGGCTCACGTCTGTAATCCCGGCACTTTGGGAGGCTGAGGTGGCCCAATGCTTGAAGCCAGGAGTTCAAGACCAGCCTGGACAACATAGTAAAACCCCATCTCTACTAAAAACACAAAAATTCGCCAGGCACAGTGGCACACACCAGTAGACCCAGCTACTCAGAAGGCTGAGGTAGGAGAATCACTTGAACCAAGGAGATGGAGGCTATGGTGAGGCAAGATCACACCACTGTACTCCAGCTTGGGAGTCTCAAAAAAAAATAAAAATACAAACAAATTAGCCGGGCGTGGTGGCGCACACCTGTAGTCCCAGCTACTCAAGAGGTTGAGGCACAAGAATCACTTGAACCAAGGAGATGGAGGCTGTGGTGAGGCAAGATCACACCACTGCACTCCAGCTTGGGAGACTGAGTGAGACTCTGTCTCAAAAAAAATAAAAATACAAAAAATTAGCCAGGCATGGTGGCGCACACCTGTAGTCCCAGCTACTCAAGAGGCTAAGGCACAAGAATCGCTGTAACCCAGGAGGTGGAGGTTGCAGTGAGCCAATATTGCTGGGCAACAGAGCAAGACTCATTCCAAAAAAAAAAAAAGGAATGAAGTATTGATACATGCCACAACATAGATAACCTTGGAGATATTTTGCTAAGTTAAAGAAGCCAGTCACAAAGACTGTGTATTGTATAATTCCGTATATGTGAAATGTAATTAGAAAGTACTGGGGCATGAGGGGGGTTGGAGGCAAATGGAGAGTAATTGCTGATGGTCACAGGAGTTCCTTTGGGGATGACAAACATGTTCTAAAATGAACGGTGATGATGACTGAACAATTTTGTGAATACAGTTCTCCTTGGTATCCACAGGAACTGCTTCCAGGACTCATCTCTAGATTGCTTTTAATATCCAATACAATGTAAATGCTATGTAAATAGCTGTTATACATTTGTGTAACATGTATTGTTTAGGGAATAATGACAAGAAAAAAGTCTGTACATGCTCAGGACAGATGCTTTTCTTTTTCCCCAAACATTTTCAATCCATTGTTGGCTGACTCCATGGATATGGAACCCATAGACACGGAGGGCAGGCTGTATACTAGAAACCACTAATTTGTATACTTAAATGGATACATTATATGGTATGTGAATTATCTCTTAATAAAGCGGCTTAAAACGAAAAAGATTAAGTGACAAATCCACAGTCACCTGGGCAGTGAGTGTGCTGGAACTAGCTGACTCACATCAGCTTAAGAGAGTTGATTGCTAAATGTTCAGAAGTTTTTGTAAGCTGGTTGTGAAAAAATCATCAATAAAAATTAAATCATATAAATGCACAAATTATATTAAAAGCATAGGTAATAAATACTCAAAACTTATCACTTCCCAATTATTGTATTATATTTTACTATTATCTATATGCTCCTGAGGCTATCTGTCTATTGTATCTGTGTGACAGAAACAACATATCATGGTGTGGTACTGAACATCTTTTTCTAATTCTGCGTTTAGTGATTGCACATTGGTAACTTGAAAACAGTCATAATGGTAGCATTTATAACACAGAAGTCTGCAAATGAGGGCTTGACTGTTGTTCTGTTAACTGCTAAAAAAAAGATGAATAAAATGTTAATAATGCAGGTAAATCTTAAAAATATGTTCTGTCTAAAGCTGTTAGTTGCGTTGTGAATAGCATCAAAAGTTGAGAAAATATTCTTCTAGTATTCAATTCAGCAAAGAAGCCATTCATGTCACTGAAGAACAAATGAAGTTCTGATATACCTCTTATTCCACTTATTAACATAAAGGAAATTCTAAACTAACATTCATGTCAGAACTACATTTCTTCAGCAAATACAACCCTAAGTCGATTACAGAAGGATACAGAGTTTGGCAAAAATCAACAAAAGCATTTTGGGGCTATATGAAATCTATAAGAAAGCATATCATAAATGTTATAATTATTCATAAAATAATACACATTCCTTAATATCAGTCAAATCTATCATAGTGTAAATGTGTGTATGTTTCCCATTGTTTGGGAGGCCAGTCACTAAACATTTGTATACACACCCCAGTGATAGAGCTGAGACTAGAATTCATACATGCTTGACCTACGCATTCATCATAATTTCCACCAATCCTGTATACCTCTCTTACGACCTTAATGTTTTTTTTAATAGCTTTGGTTATATTATGAAACATTACAATCCAAAGTAAAGTGCTTTTGAGAAAGAAGTAAAATTTTTAAATCTTAATTTTATAAAGTTAAATTATAATTTGATGATGATCTCTGTAAAACTAACCAGTACTCAGGATGTTGTCATTAACAATCCAACACGATTGAGCAGAATCAATGGCCAACCATATAAGGACAGACGGGAAAGCAGCAGTTTCTATTCTCAGATAGGTTTCAGCTTTAACTCAGAGGGAGTGAGGAGAGACATATGACCAACTTTAATTCAAGACTCAGAGAAACATCTTACAAAAGAGATTTAGAATAGAATAATAGAATCAAGAAGAAAAAAACACAGAACATAATAGAAGAAAATCAAGACAGAGGCTCAAATTATTCCCAATAACAGCATTGTTTGCTTTCAGGTGTGGCTTCCCCTGTAATTACTGAAGTTAACCAGTTGGTAGGAATTGTTTAATCATATAAAATTCGATAAACAGTTTAAGTTAAGCCCTCCAGGACTACAATAGAATGCTATTATGTTTATTCATGTATAGATACTATTTTGAAATCAACTTCATGCTAAGCCTTAAAGATTGTTTTAAAAACAAAGTAGCTTTTTTACCTTCCGGTTCCAGCAATCTGGGGATTTTTAATTCTCGTTCTGCAATTCTGAAGGCCTCTCTCAGATTGTCTTTGTTGGATCTATGCTTCACACTCTTCATGTCAATTAGGTCTGGTCGCAAGGCATGAATGATGGCCAAAAAAGCCATCCCATTTCTCCAACTTGACTTAAAATCTGTCACATTGACAGACTCATAGCTATCATAAAAGGACAAAAACATGATAAATACCATTAAAAATAATGTAACATACCCCTCCACTACATTCAATAGTAATTAAAACTTGTCAAATCAAGTAAATTAGATACATCATGCTAGATAAAATTTTTAATCTTGTGATCAAATTAAAGGAAAATGCCAAGCTTGATGAAACTCAAAATACCACAGAACACTGATTCTCAAAATTTGGTTCCTGAGCCAGCAACAACAGTATCACCCAGGGTGCAGGTGTTAGAAATGCAAATTCTCAGGCCAAATCCCACACCTACTGAATCAAACTCTGAAGGTGGGCCTGAAATCTGTGCCTTTAAAAAAGCCCTCCAGGAGATAATGATATTCACCCAAGATGGATGCCCTTCATTACCAAATCTGTTGGCTTAAGCCTGCCTTTAAACTTCTACATACAGGGAAGGTCCCTAACTAGAGGAAATCACTTTCTTTTTCAGTGGGACAAATTAAATGATACATTGTGTGCAATTAATGGCCTGTAGCTCACTAGATAGATAGACCTTGTCACTCCTCTGCTTAAAACCCATCATGACGGATGAATGGATAAACAAAATGTGGTATATACATGCAATGAATATTATTCATCCTTAAAAAGAAGGGAAATTCTGGCTGGGGGTGTTGGCTCACGCCTGCAATCCCAGCACTTTGGGAGGCTGAGGCGGGAGGATCACTTGACACTGAGAGATTGAAGCTGCAGTGAGCTACAATTGCACCACTGCACTCCAGCCTGGCTGACAGAATGAGACTGTCTCAAAAAAAAAAAAAAGGAGGGAAGTTCTGTCACATGCTACAACACGAAGGAACCTTAAAAACCATGCTAAGTGAAATAAGCCAGTCACAAAAGGACAAATACCATATGATTCCACTCATATGAGGTATGTAGAGTAGTCAGATTCATAGGGAAGTAGAATGGTGGTTGCCAGAGGCCAGAGGTTGCAGGTGATGGGGAGTTCTAGTTTAACAGGTACAGTTTCACAAAATGAAAAAAGTTCTGGTGACAGAGAGTGGTGATGGCTAGACAACAATATGAATGTAGTTAGTGCCACTGAACTGCACACTTAAAAAGAGTCAAAGTGGTGGATTTTAGGTTATGTATATTTTATCACAATAAAATCAATCAATCAATCAATCAATCAATCTATCTATCTATCCATCCATCCATCTATCTATCTATCTATCAACATCATTAGCTAGCCATTGTATTTAGAATGACATCTCTCACCCTGGTCTACAGACCCTATGTGATTTGGCCCCTGCCTGCTTTTCTCATCTTTGTATCTCCCCTCTCTTACAGAGTTACAGTCACCAGCCTCGTTCTCGTTTCTCAAAGCCACCCTCCTAGTCACTGTCCTTGGATGCTCCTTCTCATACTTCTTCATAAAGCCTCCACTTGAGGAGTCAGTTCAAAGCCTCTCTGCAGCAAAGCCCTGTCTTACCACCTGCAGTAAAGGAGACACTCTCCCTGCCCTCAACCTTCTTGACCATATCAAAAGTCCTTCACAATCTGCTTGCCAACTGTAATTATCACATTTCTTCATGATGATTCCTGCTTTCCCCATTAGGATGCAAGCCTTTGAGAGCAAGGGCTTTGCCTTTCTTGTTCACCACTGTAGACTCATTCCCCAAACAATGCCTGGCATATAATCAGGGCTTAAGACACATATTTTTTTAAAAATCACTCCATCACTATTCTGTGCTTCACAAGGGATCAGTGAAAGTTCTGCAAAAGGGTATAGTTGGCTGCAACATTTGGGATATATTCTAGAACAACTATCGTGTCCTTTCATATCCCATAAAAAGCACGAAAAAATTCAATAGACTATTTTAAGGTATGAAGCAAATGATAAAAGCTACTCAGGAAACAGGTCTGCTCCAGATGACCTGGGTTTTCCTGTTTACTTAGGGGAAAAAAGTTTAAAACTATGACTGTAATAAACTACATAGCAGTCAGTGATTTTTGTGTTGTCTAACAAACACGTCTGTGGTATCTACTCTACCCAGAAACTGTTCTAAATGCTTTAAAAAAATTAATTCTTATCATGCAGATAACAACCTATGACATATTATTGTTGTTCACATTTTATGACTGAAGAATTGGAACACAAAGAGATTAGGTGTTCAAAGTCACCAGTTAGAAAGTACAGGGCACCAGCACTTCAAATCCAGGTACTCTGACTTTAGAATGTGCAAGACTAAGCTAAACTATTAGGTGGGTGCAAAAGTAATCGCAGTTTTTACCATTAAAAGTAATGGCAAATTGTAATGCTATGGCAAAAGTAATGCAATTACTTTTAAGTAATTAAAAGTAATGGCAAAAACCGCAATCACTTTTGCACCAACCTAATAATAACTAAAGGGATGGTGGCTGCAGCTGAAGGCAGGGCCAGACCTCAGCACCTTGAGTACTGAACCAGCACTGCACTGACTGGCAGGCACTGTACTCAATACTGTGTAGGTCAGCTCTGCACTGATGAGCCAAAGCCAATATCATAAAGATGTTGCTGCCAGACCTTAGAGAGGGCGGAATTAGGCTCCTGGTTGGCAGAACCTACACTCATTTAGATGTGGAGAATGGGGCCTGATTCATCTGTTTCACAAATGAGAAAATACAACATATTACTTACAAAAGAGTCTTATTGAAATAAAACACAAATATTGAAATAATAAAACACAGGATATTGAAATAAAAGTTATATAATACCACCAACGATGGCCAAAACTAGGATAAACCCATGATGAATTACTTAAGAAGAGGTGCTACATTTTAATAAGCTTAGCATAAGCTCTATAGCTGAAAACTAAGAAAGATGGGGAGATGTGAAGAAAAGATAAACTGTGGTAAAATATTTGGGGCTTTGAAAGGACTTTAAGGTTATTTATGCATAAATGAAATAAATCTGAGTAGACACAATAATGCTTTTCACAAATACTGTTCGGGATTTTTAAAATTTAGAAAACTGGAGTACAATTATCTCTAGGAGATTCAAGAAACAATTCATTTAATATACTTTAAACCTCTATATAAGGTTATGTATGTTTACGGCTCTCATAAAATATAGAGAATGAATGACAACTAAAGAAAAGTAAGGCTGGGCCGGGAGCAGTGGTTCACTCCTGTAATCCCAGCACTTTGGGAGGCAGAGGTGGGCAGATCACCTGAGGTCCGGAGTTTGAAACCAGCCTGGGCCAACCTGATGAAACCTCATCTCTACTAAAAATACAAAATCAGCTGGGCATGGTGGTGCACACCTGTAATGCCAACTACTCGGGAGGCTGAGGCAGGAGAATTGCTTGAACTCAGGAGGTGGAGGTTGCAGTGAGCTGAGATCCTGCCACTGCACTCCCGCCTGGGCGACAAGAGCAAAACTCCCTCTCAAAAAAAAGAAAAGTAAGGCTGAAGGCAGAAATTCAGCTCTATCTTGGCCTTTCAACAGGAAGGACTTACTCTGAAGTCCTGCATTTGAAAGGGCTTAGCAACATAGTTATGACCCTATTTACCTAACAATGCTATGATGTGACAAGAAATGCCTTGTGAACTTTACAGTTCTAGTAGAGAGATCTCCTGCATCTACAGTCCTTATTTTTCCTAAGCTCCAGCTCAGACATTGGTTAAAATGGGAAAGTAAATTGTCTCCCAAGAGCAGAAAACATTTTTCTTTCTTTAAAAGAAAAACAAGATATGAGCACTAACTTTCCTTCATTATCCCCAATTTTTAAAAATGCATACTCCAGCCTGGTGTGGTAGCTCACACCTGTAATCCCAGCACTTTCAGAGATGGAGGCAGGTGAATTGCTTGTGTTCACGAGTTTGAAACCAGCCTGGGCAACATGGCAAAACCCCATCTCTACAAAACATACAAAAATTAGCCAGACATGGTGGTGTGTACCTGCAGTCCTAGCTACTCAGGAGGCTAAGGTGGAAGGATCAACTGAGCCTGGGAGGTCAAGGCTGTAGTGAGCCATCATCGCACCACTGCAGTCCAGCCTGGGTGACAAAGTGAGACTGTCTCAAAACGCATACTGTCTGGTCTCTGTGCTTGCTAATTGAGCTGTATTTCTAAACTCTGAGGTCTCTTAATATACTCACATACATCTTCAAGAGATAAGTTTTGTGTGTGTGTGTGTGTGTGTGTGTGTGTGTGTGTGTGTGAGAGAGACAGTGTTTCGCTCTTGTTGCCCAGGCTGCAGTGAAATAGCATGATTTCGGCTCACCACAACCTCCACCTCCCGGGTTCAAGCAATTCTCCTGCCTCAGCCTCCCAAGTAGCTGGGATTACAGGCACGTGCCACCATACCAGGCTAATTTTTCATAGAGACGGGGTTTCGCCATGTTAGCCAGGCTGATCTCAAACTCCTGACCTCAAGTGATCTGCCCGCCTCAGCCTCCCAAAGTGCTGGGATTATAGGAGTGAGCCATCGTGCCTGGCACTTAAATACCACTTTATTTCCATGTAATAATATGCCACCTAAACACAGCAGGTGGGAGTGAGCGAGTTTACCCAGGTGATACCACCTTCCAGCCTTTGAAACGAAACGTGGCTGAGCTCTCGGGCTTCCACATATGGAAGAAGCACTGAGAGGAAGGGGGATAGTGAGAATTTTCATTTTAAGTGAGGGAGGTGTTTGGGTGGTGAGGTGGTGTTGGTTGATACAGTTGCCCTGTGTGTCTCTTAGGATCATAGCAAACTACTTACGTGGCACATTGTTCCTGAGCCCACAAAAGAAGGGCCTTTTTTGCAGACATCTGCCATCTTGCTTGTACTTTGGAGCATTTCTTAGCTGGAGGACTTGAGGTAGGAGAAGAATCAACCACACTCACATCATCCAGGGAAGGCTGATTGTAATTGCAAGGAAGAGTCTGGGCAAGCTTCTCAATCTAAAGAAGGCAAAGTAAGACTTAATGTTTATAAAAGCATAAGTTACCAGCATTGGGCCAAAATTTCCAGTCAAAATAAGACCTAAAAAGCATCCTATGACAGTCATAGTTTACTCCTAGTGAAATGAATACTGGGCAAATCCTTGAATAACAGCATCTGCCATGGGGGCTGCACTTTTGCTTCCTAAGGTATGACTTGGGTCATTCCTTACACTCTCCCAGGCATGTTGCCCCACACTGAGGGATGTCCCTCATCGATGCATCCCCCTGAAGTACTTATGGAGCACTTCACTGTAGCTTAACGCCTGTCAAATGAATTTAACTGAACCAAATTGAGCTCCTAGTCTAGAGTATCTTGAGAGACTGGATCAAGTGAAATGCATCCATTAAGGACAAATGTACACATCAAAAAAAAGATAGTCAAACACATGGATAGACAAGTCCAGAGGAAACAAATAAAACTGCCATTAAATCTATGAAAAACAATTGCATTTGTAATTTAAGAAATTTAAACGTATACAGCAAAAGGATAGCTTTTACTATATTGTACAGGCAAAATAAATGTAAAGGCAATATCCAGCGATGGTCAAAGTATGAGAAACTAGATATTTTTATATTGCTAGTAAATGTACAAATTGGCTCAATTTTTTTGGAGGGCGATATGGTATCTATCCAAAACTTTAAAAGATAAATCCATAAACATAGAAGTATTTAATACATTTCTCTCAACAAATGACAGACTAATCAGACAATCAATAATAACAGATGTCAACAACACAATTAACAAACTTGATCTGATTAGCATTGATCCGGTAAGCACTACGCCAACATTGCTTTCACGAGCGTACAGAACATTTACTGAAACTGACCATGCTGCACCGTAAATCAAGCTGCAGCAATTTTGAAAGACTGAAATCATTCAGAGTATGTTCTCTGACCACATTGAAATTCTAGTCAGCAGCAAAGATATAACAGACAAAATCTCCAAATATTCAGAAATTAAGATAAATATATATATATACACACACACACATACATACATACATATATATATATATATATATATTTT